TTTTTCTTTACAAAAGCCGGCTTTAATTTATTAAAATATTTACGTTCGCTTTCAAAAATAAAGTCGTCGTAACGTCAATTAAAGTAGTTTTAAGTCAATATTTGGCTATTCTTTTATCTTAGAAATCTTTTATCTAATACACTCATCAACTTTCACAGTCGTATGCTACGAAAATACGAGTCTCATATTATCTTTGCTCAATCTTTACACGCGACCTCTTACGTATTACATATTGTTGAGTCGATTATCCCCGGAGCCGCCAAGGAAATTTTAATTGAAATTTAAATACTGAGTTACCACGGCGAAGTTACGGCGGTTAAAGTCGTACGGTAGTGAAGATAGGCAGCGCGCGAGGCCTTCCCTGCTACAAAACCACTCCATTAATAGATTTCACATAGGCTGTAGATTTAATAACAAAATTGATAACATAAAAATACTACACTTCTTTGTGGTGTGCCGCAATGCAAAAAAATTGAGCGATATAATTATACATTATTAAATTGGATGGGCTTATTAATATTAGATACAGTAAGTAGCCTCTATAGTGATGGGGAAGTGAAAAAAATTAAGCGATATACATTGTATCGATATTATAGACAGTATCGAACAGTATCAATGTAATATATTGCGTAATAAATATTGATAAATTGTCATATTTTGCATGATGTAGTTGGTTATGGCCCAAAATTTTATTACTAGACGGTGTGACGATGGCAACTTTTGTAGTTGCTTTTGTTGCTTGATGTTTTGTCGATTAATACAATATTTTAAAATAAATCGAAATTGATACGAATGCGATAATGTAAAATAATTATTGAACATCGATATATTGTGATTAAAAATATCAACGATATATAAATATATCTCGATATTTTTATGAGAAATTGTCGATATTTGGATATATCGATATCTTTTACCCAAGCCTAAGTCTCTAGTGAATTTCACTTTTACAAATAACTTTTACGTAAACTTTTACAAATGATTGTATATGTTACTACCACTATTCGGCTGACCATGCAATATCATTCACTTTTTGAAATTCACAAAGATTTTTCGTTTATCTATTGGGTTCCCTTAACAATATATAATTAAATATACTAATATTTTGTTAAGAGGCGGTAAAAATGCATATAAATAATAATTAAACACAGCAATTTGAAGCTCCGTAACGGCACATTGAGATTGGGATTAAACAACCATGGAAGGAAAAGGGGAGATCCTCCCGCCGGGCAAGGCGTTCTGCCCGGGGAGCGGCCAACGCTCTGTGTGATAGTTCGGAGATGTTCTATATATATATACTGTTTATGATTCGGAATGTTGATAGCGTGGTTTAGGCTTCAGTGTGTTTCGCTTGTGGCGCGACGACAGCGCCGCTACAGAAGGATGTAATGTCTATATACTCGAAACTCGATAGTAAATATTTATTAATCATTATATAACAAAAAGTACGCAGTTATATAACTGCGTAAGATAAACTACCACACGGTGCACCTGATGGTAAGTTAACGCAGTGGCACATATGAACCTACATAATACGAGGGTGGATTGAAAAGTACTCGGCCTAACACAGATCCATTCAATTCTAAAAATCAAATCTACCCACATTATTTAGTTCAGTTCAGACTAGTTCATTGTGTGAAGTTCGAAACGTGTGTGATAATTAGTTGTGATTTTATAAATTTATTAACAAAGTAATCGGACATAATTTCCGCGAATGGAGCAAATCGAGCAGCGTGCCGTCATTAAGTACCTCCATAAGAAGGGGCTATCATCAAAAGCCATCCATTTTATACGTGGTAGAGCCATGCTGCAGTTATATTAGTAGTATAGTTGTAGCACGAATGGGTCGGCTCGACCGGGGAGGGACCACGCTCTCACAGAATACCAGCGTGAAATAGTAGCTTAATGCTGCTGTGTTTCGTATGGTGAATGTAGAGAACCGGAGACCCTTTTTGCTGGAAACGAGGCATTCCATCTTGGTCCTCACGGGTGACAACGCATCTGCATTTTGATTCGTAATCGAGGATAGATGTAGATGCCTATGGGCCACAGCAACCACTTACCATCAGGTGGACTGTGTGCTCGTTTGTCACCCTTTCCTATAAAAAAAAATGATGACATGGTCAGTACATTAGGCGATTGTGCTCTGTCATATTCATCCGTCAAATTATGGATAGCAGAATTTAAGCGTGGTAGAGAGAGTGTGAAAGATGAACCCCGGTCTGGAAGACCTTCGACGTCAACTACTGACGAAAATATTAAAAAAAGTACTTGATTTAATAATGGGAGACCGCAGATTAAAAATTAGAGAGATAGCCGAGATTATAGGCATCTCTTATGAACGAACTCAAAACATCATTGTCGACGAGTTGGGTTTCCACAAGGTGTCTGCGAGGTGGGTTCCGCGACTGCTTTCAGTTGAACAAAAAAAGGACGCGATTGACTATTTCACGCGACGGTTTGGAGTTATTTGAAGCCGATGCAGATGATTTTTTGAATCGTTTTGTTACTATGGACGAAACATGGGTTCATTACTGTACACCGGAAACAAAACAACAATCAAAACAGTGGAGAAGACCTGGTTCACCACCCCCTAAAAAGGCTAAGTCGATTTTGTCGGCAAATAAGGTGATGGCTTCAGTATTCTGGGACTCGAAAGGTGTGATTATGATTGATTATCTTGAAAGGGGTCAGCCTATAAACTCTGATTACTACTGCACCTTACTACGTCGTTTACGAGAGGAAATAAAAGAAAAACGTCGAGGAATGCTCAGAAGAAAAGTCCTGTTTCATCACGATAACGCCCGTGTTCACACGTCAGTACAGTCAATGGCTGAAATTCACAACTGTGGCTTTGAACTGTTACCGCATCCGCCGTATTCACCTGATCTGGCACCATCAGACTTCTTTCTGTTCCCTAACCTAAAAAAGCACTTGGGAGGTCAAAGATTTTCGACAAACGACGAGGTCTAAGCAGCTGTAGACGCATATTTTGACTCTAAGGAAGAATCATTTTTTTTCAACGGTCTAAATGCTTGGAAGGGGAGGTGGCAAAAGTGTATTGAACTTGATGGTGATTATGTAGAAAAATAAAAATATAACTGATTTAGTATGTGTTTATTTTCTTGGTTAGGCCGAGTACTTTTCAATCCACCCTTCAACATCAATTAAGATTTAAAATACAGATGTCACCCTTGAGGATTAAAAAGGAATGTCTCGTTACATGTTAAAAGGTCTTCTGTTCTCATCACTCATTATGCAAAACACAACGGCATTATGCTGCTACTTCATGCTGGTGTTCGGTGTAAATGAATGTCAAACCGATCAATTCAGGCTGCGGCCAAATACGCTACAACGTGGCACTACCAAGTACGAAAAATACATAAGGGCCGATTTATTACCACTGACCTGATGATTGAAGTAAAACTTAATGTGATAAGGATCAAGATTAAACACAACAGCTTAAAACTGACTATTTAATGTCATGTCTTATGCTATTATGTTATACCGTAACTCGTAGGTAGAGTTCCATAAGCTTTCTGAACGCACTAAAGCAGCAAAATTCATTCCGTATGACATTGATGGCATCATCATTATCATTACAACCCTTTACAATTACACTGTTGAACACAGGCCTCCCCCAAGAAATTCCATAAAACACGGTCCTAAGCCAACCTACCTACATGTTTTATAGAATAGTGTGACAAACGAGCACACAGTTCACCTGATTGTAAGTAGTTGCTATGGTCCATAGACATCTACATCTATCCTCGATTACGAATCAAAATGCAGAAGCGTTGTCACCCGTGAGGACTAAGATTAAATGCCTCGTTTTTTGTGAAAATGGTCTCCGGTTCTCTACACTCATCACACGAAACACAACAGCATTACGCTGTTATTTATGCTGGTATTCTGTGAGAGCGTGGTCCTTCCGCGGTCGAGCCGACCCATTCGTGCAACAACTATACTACTAATATAACTGCAGCATTGTTCTACCACGTATACACACATCCATCGACTTCCCGCATATCTTACCAGGGGATTAGGAATAAATTAATGTAAAATCGTAATTAAAATGTTTTCTTCGTGAGCTCGTAAAAGTCTACTGTTCGGCCTCGAAGATTTTAATCCTCGAGGTTTAAATCGCCACGCTTGGTAGTATATGGATTGACGTTCGCAATGCCACATGTCTCTCACCTTCGATGCTGCTGCCCATTACCGGTCTGTGTATTTTATATCTGGCAAAAACTTTGTGGTTATACCAACAACTATAGAAAGTGCTTACCACACCTACGGAACCCATAATAATAAAGCTTCTATCTGAGTAACTTGCCGAAACAAAATATACGAGCGAACTCGCAGACATAGCTAGTTTTGTAATAAAAGCCTTATTGTTACGAAGTATTATTTCTAGTTTTAGACAGGTCTGTATGGCAGTGGGACGAGCCATGACATAAATAAACTAATCAAACCTGTTTATTAAATATAACTGTCCAAAGCAAAACACGACTTACTACTTTCTGAATGTTATATTCATATTATATAAAATAATAAATATTTTATTCAGTTATTATAAGCGAGCACATACCTGATGATAAAAGGATGCTGTAGCCTCTTACATTACTTATATTATAAATTACATTATTTAATACAATAAATTATATATATATATATATATATATATATATATATATATATATATATATATATATATATATATCTGCCATTGATTACCAAATTAAGATTGAATACTCAGAATTACCAGTTAATAAAAAGTAAAAAGTCATAGGTTTTCAAGGATAACACATTAACAGCAGTATTATGGAGCCATTGATATTAATTATGTTATGTTGTAGATAGTAACTTTCTAAAAAATAAATCTATTTGTTCCTCCACATCTGCCGAAATTAAGTATGTCATTTTTAAAACTTCTTATACAAAGTCGTAAATGTAAATTATTTTAAATTTAATGGTTAATAACTTTAAATTAATTATTACAGGTTCTCCGTGGAAGGTCGAGGTGATGGCGGGGCCGGCGGGCGGGGGCGGAGGTGAGCCTACAAGGCTCATTCCCGCGCGAGTGCCGGCCGTCTTTGAGATATCCACCTCGCCGGGAGCGCCCACGTTCAACAAGAATGAAGTAATAAACAGTCCGTTTTCACGAATACAGAATACTTTGCGATATTTCGCAACGCAAGATTCATTGCCATGTGGCTAAATTCAGATTTGTTTATGTCAAAAATCTTTATAAAATTTTCTTCTTTACGGGAATACTAAAACGATATTAACATTCCTATTAACTTTAATCTTTACAACTATGCTGAAAATTTCTAACTTTATTTAGCATTTTACGTCAGGAGTTGCTGCTAGCAACACCGTTTTCTACCAAAGTCGTAGCCGAGTCGCTAATAGGCCTTCAGCTACAAAATAAATAACTAACGACAGTCTACGGTCTACAGATGACAGCTTCATTTAACAACGTACAAATTTATTTCGTAAATTAAGTATTTCAAAATCGTAATTATAACGGTTTCTTTTTCCTTTTAAGTAATCATAGAAACGGGTTAATGGCATTCGTCACGAAAAGTAGTCAGCCTACACTTGCAGGCTTGGCGGTGCGGATTCCAAGCCCGAGCCATATAGTGCTCACTGCTCAAAGACGACAGCGGCAGCAACCAATAAATAAACTCATAGCATTACCATTGCCGCCTTCCCCATACATTATCTCAGAGGGGGTATTTGATAAACTACATTTGATAAACTAAACATACATTTGATTTACGGATTGGCAAGTGTAATTTTTCAATAGCCTCTTTCATTTCACCCTGTCGCATTGTATATTTGGTAGTAGATATTCTTACACCGCGACTACATTATAAGCTCGTAGTTTAGTAAGTAATAAGTACATTTTTAGTGCAACTTATTAAATTTCCTCTAATAAATGTATCCACACTATCTGTCGATTCCAAATAGAGTTAAAAAAGATTTGTAATGGGTAAAATATTTAATATTGTAAATTTCAATATATATCATTCATTTTAAGATTCGTAGAGCATTTTTCTAATAAATGTTTTTAAAAGGTCCGTGTGTGTGTGTTTACGTTCGTACGTTAGTAAATTTTGTGTCGGGCATATCTCGAGAAGAAATTATGATGTCCTCTCCAAACTAATTTTTCATTTTCATTCGACGATTAATTGCATAATGAATACCTGATAAATCGCTTGGCGGGTAGGTAAAGAATTGAAATAACAGACGTCACCCACCCATAACACTGCTGTTATCGCCGGTCTGGATATTTTACGTTTGGCGTAAATAATATGGGTATACCGCTATCTATCGGAAGACATAAGGTTTTCTCGAATTACTTGTAATGGTCTCTTGCGACACCCAAGTGATGTAATTGCACTGCATTGCAATGCATTTTCTTACGCCGCGTCCACGTCACACCTAATTAGGTTTTAGTAAAAAGGATTCAGGAATTTTTAAACAAAGAAATGTAACTGAGTACATACTAATTAGTCTAAAATTAATATGAAGTTAGGTACTGTAAATGCAGTCCGAAATCTGAATTACACTTGTAGCCATTTTATTCAATTTTAAATTATATGAAAGTAAAAAATCTACACTCAATTTTTATCAAGGTCTCTCGGTCTCGATTAGTTTTAATACATGTAAAATTTGTAACCTATAAGTTTCTTTATTGTAGTTTATTTATGCTCTGTTCATCTTAACTACCTTTAGCGTTTCAGTAAAAATTTATATATTCGTATATACATTTTATTACCTTGACGCTCTCAAAGATGACACCGCATTAGTAGACATGCTTAGAAAACAACAATTCAGGATAATCCTCAATTCTATAAATAAGAAAAATCGAATTGCGAACAACATTTATTTGCTTTTTTCTTTCAAAATAAATAAACATTTATAAATTATATAATTTTACATATTTAAAAAAAAAACACGACAAAGTGGGTCATGTGTTCTGTTAATATTTAAGAAAATATTTTGTTTCCATTCATATTATGATAAGTTTAAGCGAATTAATTTTGTTATGATATTTTGTAAATTAGAAAGTTCTTCGAAAACGCCGTAAAATTCACGCCTGAGGAATAAAAAATGTATTTTCGATGACATGAAATTCACCAAACCGCATAGGGCCAGTGGGACGGTCTCTTCCCTACCCTGGAACCGGAACCCCCTCAGTAATGAGAGGATGCCTAGTAATGAGAACGCTTAATAGTAACAACTATATATATGTAGGCTATTAATTTATTTTTTTACTTTTACTTCGCTATCGAAGATATCGCGAAAATTCTAATCGTATCTATATACGATCGACTATACAGTAGACCTTCGATAATCCGACCCCTGGCTAATCCGCACCCCCTTGTAATCCGACATGCCTTAAATGAATCCGTTATGGAGGGGGGGGGGGTGTTCTTCGCGAATACGTGAACAAACAGGTTGCATTTATTTCAGGCCATTGTCTCAGTTTAAGTGTGACTATGGGGTTGCAGCCTAACGGACATCCATCATTTACTTAATTTCACATGACTTTTTTTATTGTTTAATATTTGATATGTAATTTGTCGGATTACAAGGTACTCTTTTTCAAAAAGTTCTAGACTACCAAGGGGTGTGGCAGTACTCTATAGTCCGACAAATTTGATAATCCGACACCGCCTTGCAAAACGTTTGTTGGATTACCGCGGATCTACTGTATAATCAACATAATATCATCATCAAAATTAAGCCCCTACACAATTCCGCTGCTGAACATAGACTTCCCAGAAGGAACTACAATATTCCTGAGCCACCAACCTACATCCACCACCATCCACCTTATATTTATGAATTTAATTGATAGAATCGGGCATTACTTTGCGGAAATTCATTATAATAAAGATATTAATATTTAACAATCTTCAATCCAGGTAAGACACATTATTGTGTTTAATTGAGCGAATGGTTGCGAATCAAATATTAATATCTTAATTTATGAATTTATTTATATTTTTATATTTTAAGAATTTACCTAAATATATAGAGCTATAATCTTAGATAGCCTCAAATATTTGTCGTGAATAGATATCTTACCCTTGCCATCAAGTATGTTTGTTTAATAAAATCTCCATTGCATTCTCTCCCCGTGTAAAATAATAATCTTTATATTGATAGATGTTTTACATGAAATAATCGGAGCCAAAATGTAAGCCAGCACTTAAAACTGTGAAAGGAAATTCGAAAATGAAATATCCGTATTTTTGTTGTTAGCTTAATTTAAAAATAAGTAAGTCGTATTTTTAAAATAAATCTTCTCTAGCCAATATTTCGTTTAAAAAACTTTCGCACAAAACTCATAACGTGACTAGTCGTATGTGTATATTTTGCCTAGATTAATGGTGAACTGGGATACAATATCTTTAAGCATTAACTTCGTCATATATGTATGAAATAAATATGACTAATTCCTTCAGAGTGCATTTTCTTATATAAAACCTTATATAGATTTGATCTTTAAATGTTTAGTACCACATTATAAATGTAGGTGCGACCTGGCCATACAAATACCTACCTATTTTTTTAATTAATAAAAATCATCAATACTGAGAATAGTAGTTGTTATTCGCATAAGTCACCCTAACTAAATTTAAAATACTTTTTCATCTAAATTTTCATGTAATAAAATATCATAATTTTACAATATTAAAACAACACTGCGCCTTATTGTATACAGTTTATTATACAGTATACTAAAATGTAGGTAGTTATACCTCACTAATAATAAATGCTGGCTTAATGCTGTTTTAAATTATGCAGACATTGTCAAATCAAATGTTAATAATTAAATTGAAACAGGTATTTAGGTACTCATCTATAAAGACTATGGCCGTAAACTATGATGTAAAAGTGGGAGTCGTATTATATCTATGATTTATCCTCGCACGGGCGATCAAAGCGTAAGCATTTTTGCTCTTTCCATACGCACTACCAATTTAAGATTTATTCAATATTGCCCTCCCTCTCCCCTACTCCCTACATACATCTATACAATACCCCAAACCACAGAATAAATAATAGTACTACGTACCAAACGTAATTTGCCAAATATAACATTGGTATCTTTCCAGAGCAAAGAATATTTATTGATATTTGTAACATTTTTGCTATCAGGTAACGAAAATATCACTCATCTATCATCTAGCTAGTATTATAAATATTCAAATGATAGATGATGACAACTAGAGTGAGGAAAATATACATACGCAACTACTGAATATTACATTTTCTTTTTCCTGCCCTCGCATTCAGGATAATTTTATTATGAACTAGCTGTGCCCGCGACTTCGTTCGCGTGGAATCAGTTGTTTTGCTAATCTAAATGATGATGATTTATTTGTAAAGTAAACTGTCGCGAAAACTTAGAAAGACACTCTGAACTGACTACTCTGTATAAAAACATTCAATTAGTTGGTTAATCAGACAAACAAACGAACTAACAAATAAACGGACTCCCAAACGTAACCAAGAAACGAATAAGGCAAACTATACGCTTGTGTTTTATTTTGTAAATAAAAACAAAATGACCGCAATAACGTAATCCCTGATGTGCTCCCGAATTTCTCTAGCCAATACTTGGTTTCCATACAACAAATAAGAGATTGCCCTAAATAAGCAAGCACCACCACCAATTAATGATATTAAATAAAAAAAATTAAATGTAAACTACAGTCCTATGCCTACCTTAAACTAAATAGGCCTACACTAAAAAATAAATGAAATCGCATAAGTTTCTATATTTCGTCTCATCCTGCAAACAAATGAAAAAAAACCTAAAATCAATCTAGGAAATAATAATACTTAATAATTTATCCATATATAAATATTATTAAAAACCTTATTTTACTATCTAAGGATTTAAATTTTCTTTAAATTCTTTCTTAGTGGATGCCTTCTTAATAAAAGGTTGTTATTGTCCCAATTTCACGCATCTACGTCCAGCGGTTTGAGCTGTAGACTTAATACAATATTTTTCATACAAAATTTGCACTGTTAAATGTTTTTCTCCTTACAAATTGAACATTATCTACCCCCTTTTCCCTCCCCCGGTAAGAGGTTGTTTTAAGAAATACCTACCGAAATATTTCATCTCCATACAAAATTGCACAGCCTCTACTCCTGCCTCCCTTACCGTAACGGATTATTTTGAAATATCAAAATACGTATTCCTTATTTTTTAAATACAGTACTCTCAGTAAGTATCGAGTCAATCGCCCTGTTCGTTTAACTTATGTCCAATATAAATGAAATTTTATAAACGCTATTTGCAAACAAAATAAAAAATACTTCTAATCTTATAAAATAAGAATTTTGTCTAATTTTAAGAACCAATTAACTTAGCATATAAAACATAAATTAGTAATATGCACTTTATTACTAATTCCAAAATTTAAATTCAAAAGAAAAAATGGGTCTGGAGTCAGGATGGCACTATCTCACTGCCTTTCATATCTCGCTAATAATTAAATCTTATGGTGTTTGAAAATATCGCCATCTATATAAAATTATAGTAGTGAACTTATTATTACAGTAAGATAAGATAAAAATTATATGATATTTAGAAACAACTCAAAATCGTGTAACGTAATTTTTCAATTTTACGACAATGTAAATTTTAAAACTTTTTGGAACTGCTAAAGAAAAGTATAATATACTCATGCCAGGCTCCTATGAACCTCGCCGAAACCAAAGAAATTATTAACAGTCCTTTTAAAATTACCAAGTACTCGGCGGTTAAGAAAAAAAATTTAAGCAAACTCACTTATTTAAAATTTAATTAATAAAAACAATTTGCACAACACCAGCTTGTTCCCCAAGATATTAGGGTTTATATATTTTTTATAATAACGTTATTCGTTATTATTTTTATTTACTGCGTTCAGATACAATTATTCCATTATAGCGCTTATTACATTATACAATTTTTAGAAAATCTGATTAGGAACCTAAATTGGAAGCTAGTGATCACATTACACTAAATTGAATTCTAAATCGTGACGAAGCGCATTCGTAAAGAAGTATCGACGGGGTTGATCGTTTGATCGATGACGCCGTATTTTTCAAAACAGCAGAAAATAGGACTTGCCTTAGCCGTGGTGGGAACAATGGATATTAAAAGAAGAAAAAAGAGTACCTACTTGTCATTGAGAAAAAAACTGTCCAATATGAATATAATTATATATTTTTAGATTCTAAGCAGTTTTTTTATAGGATAGGGTGACAAACTAGCACACAGTCCACCTGATGGTAAGTGGTTGCTGCGACCCATGGGCATCTACATCTATCTCCGATTACAAATCAAAATGCAGATGGAATGCCTCGTTTCCAGTAAAATGGGTCTCCTGTTCTCTACACTCGCCATACGAAACACAGCAACATTAAGCTACTATTTTACGCTGGTATTCTGTTAGAGCGTGGTGCTTCCCCGGTCGAGCCGACCCATTCGTGCTACAACTATACTAATAATATAACTGCAGCATGGCTCTACCACCTATAAAACTGTTTGATTATTTGTTAAGTTTGGTATCCAAACATATTGAAAAAGAAGTTACGATATTTCGATAAAGTGTGAGTACCAAAGAATGTTTGATGGTGACATTACATTTTATAGCCACCGGAAATTAATATTAAGATTTAAAGTACTGCTCTCTGATATCATATTTCTATCAAAACTATCAAAACTTCAAGACATCCGCTTGTATCAAAGCGCGGGCGCCGACTGGTTGTTCTAAATCGTAACGTTGCGATTACACTGTCCTAAATTGTAAACAATTTAGGAAGTAGAGCGATTGGGACCTCCAATTTGACTAAATCGGATCCTAACTGTTCTAACTACGATTACACCTTCCTACTTCCTAATTAGATTTCCTAAAAATTGTATAATGTAATAAGCGCTTAAGCGCTTATTACACTATACAATTTTTAGGAAATCTAATTAGGAACCTAAATTGGAAGCTAATGATCACACTACACTAAATTGAATTCTAAATCGTGACGAACCGCATTCGTAAAGAAGTATCGACGGGGTTGCACGTTTGATCGATGGCGCCGTATTTATCAAAATAGCAGAAAATGGGACTTGCCTTAGCCGTGGTGGGAACAATGGATATTAAAAAAAGAGAAAAGAGTACTTGTCATTGAGAAAAAACTGTCCAATATGAATATAATTATATATTTTTAGATTCTAAGCAGTTTTTTTATAGAATAGGGTGACAAACTAGCACACAGTCCACCTGATGATAAGTGGTTGCTGCGGCCCATCGACATCTACATCTATCTCCGATTACAAATCAAAATGCAGATGCGTTGTCACCCGTGACGACTAAGATGGAATGCCTCGTTTCCAGTAAAAAGGGTCTCCGGTTCTCTACACTCGCCATACGAAACACAGCAACATTAAGCTACTATTTTACGCTGGTATTCTGTGGGAGCGTGGTGCTTTCCCGGTCGAGCTGACCCATTCGTGCTACAACTATACTACTAATATAACTGCAGCATGGCTCTACCACCTATAAACAGTTTGAATATTTGTTAAGTTTGGTATCCAAACATATTGAAAAAGAAGTCACGATATTTCGATAAAGTGTGAGTACCAAAGAATGTTTGATGGTGACATTACGTTTTATAGCCACCGGAAATTAATATTAAGATTTAAAGTACTGCTCTCTGATCTCAGACTTCTATCAAAACTTGAAGACATCCGCTTGTATCAAAGCGCGGGCGCCGACTGGTTGTTCTAAATCGTAACGTTGCGATTACACTGTCCTAAATTGTAAACAATTTAGGAAGTAGAGCGATTGGGACCTCCAATTTGACTAAATCGGATCCTAACTGTTCTAACTACGATTACACCTTCCTACTTCCTAATTAGATTTCCTAAAAATTGTATAATGTAATAAGCGCTTATGGAACACTATTTTACATTACATTATTTAATTACAAAAACGACCTTGATCACTCAACGCTCCATTGAACAAATTCGTACCTATACTTCGTTCTCATACTTCAGAATAATAATCATAACTTTTGATAGGATGAACCGATTTTAATAAAACAAAGACTAAATTTAAAACGAAGATATTCTTCACAATTTTTATAAAGATTATTTTGATATAAATCAGTACTTTATAAATGATACGTTAACAAACAAACAGACAGACAGAAAATTCTAAAAATGATAGAAATGTATTCAGTTACTTATTTTTAGTCCCTCTCCATCAATTTTGTTACAAACACTCTACAATTAAAAATTTTATTATCTGTATAGATTACTGTTGTAACAATAACGTAAAATGAAATAAACATTATAAAGTTCTTATTTATATTATGTTTAAAAACTCTTATTATTATATTATATACTTAGTTATCACTTACAACTGACTACAATACTTTGAACTTGTAGTTTCTTTACTAGGAGTTAGGCCCACAAAAACAACAACTTACCATCATTGTTTCATTATGAAACACTATATACATATAGATATGAAGGACAATACAAAAGCAAAAGTGTCGTCACCTCATAACTTAAATCACGGAAGACTTATCAATTGCCCAATTATTCAAAAGTAGCAGAAATGGGGATGGCTGCAGAACGGGTATATCGGTTTGACCCGGGGACGGACAACACTCTCAGAATATCAACGTAAAATAGCAGTATAATGCTGCTATGTTTCGTATGGTAAATGTAAAAAAAAAACGGAGACTCTTTTTACCGGAAACGAGGCATTCTATCTTGGTCCTCAGGGGTGACGACTCATTTGCATTTAGATTCTTAAGCGATGATTAATGTTGATCGAAAGAATGTTAGTAGTAGACTCACATCATGACTGTGTGCTCGTTAGTCACCCTTACTTCTATTAAATAAAAAATAATATATACTTTGTTTTTCTAAGAGTCTCGTTGTGAATAATTAAGATTCTCGCCAGCATGGTATATAGGAGGAAACACAAAAGTTTTCAGGAGTACTCAGATATTTTTCTGTGAGGATTTTTAATTATATTTAAACATTTAGTGCACACAAAGAAGAATAATTAACATATTCTGGTCACAGTCGCAGCCAAGACTCACGCTTATTTCCACGCTGCGCCTATGCGTGTGGGCAGATTTCATATTTTCTAGAACTTTTTTTTTTAATTTCTTATGCATCAATTTTTCTTTAACATATTCACCTTAACCGTTGAGAATGTGATAAGAGGAAGAAGACAAAGAAGTTTACCACTGCAAAGTGCAAATAGCAATTAACTATTTCATTGAGGCTGGTGTGACTCGAACTCGAGTTACTCACGTACCATAAAATTTGTAGCAAGCTCTTTTCGCCTGATATACCAAGAGTCTTATGTATTTGGAAGTGAAATATACTTATTTTATGCATATTCACAGGTGGGAGTAACAGTCACGTCTCCGTCAAGACGACCTGTGACTGCGCGTGTACTAGATGTAACCGAAAGACCGGGAGTATACCGTATTGAGTTCACACCAGAAGAGGTCGGAACACATCTAATCGATGTAAGTCACCTAAAACACTTAATATAATATAATTATATTATAGTAATTTAAATTTTATGCTGAATTTATGGTACAGTACCCGGATGACCGGTTTTTTTAAGTTACATTTATATACACATTTACATGAATAATACTTAGTTTTTGATCTTATTGACATAATAGAAAAAACTGAACTGGTTATTTGAATAAAAAATCATGCGTGCAATTAGATTAATTAAAATTTTCGTATTTTTAAAAAATACCAAAAAAAAGGGCTCGAAATAATAGATTTTCTCACAAAAGAAGGGAACTTGAAAAAAAAAGGAAAAAAAGTCGGATTCAAGACGGGACGCGAACCACGGAACACCCTTTGTCCGTGTTTTCAGGCAATAAAAAAACTGCTACAATATAAGAAGGTATTTTGACAGGTTACTAACGGTCGTAATAGCTCAGATGGGATGTTGTTCGGGCGCGATATCGATATGTTATGCGATATAATCGGAATCGTTTAAAGGTATAGGATATCATAAGCGAACAAATAAATAGTGTAATTTTGAAAAGACAAATAAGACCAAACACCTAAAATATTAAATGTTTGCATATAGGCAACCACAGTGACAACTCCTAATGATTAGAGAAGTTTTGCTTATTTGAACCCTTCTTCTTGTCATCATCGGGTCGTAAAAATCAACTGCCATAACGTAGCTCTCCGTCATTGGTCTAAATTTTTTATTCCTGGCGCAAGATCTATCAAAGCATTTCTTTCACCATCGCATAACCAAAAGCTTGGTCCACTGCCTTATATCGCCCCGTAGGTGTCGTAAGAGGCGACAAAGGAAAACAAACAACGAAAAGAGCAGCAACGTCTTCCTAATAACATCAAGAAATTTAAAAAATGTGGTTGCGAACCCGCCTGCCAGGCGTGGCAACTGTGGCAAATGTGAGACCATCTATGAAAGCGACTTACGTTAAGCAGTGGACTTTCGATGGGCTGGCTATATTGATGAATGATGATTCATTCATTTAAAATAAGTTAACATATAACTATTTTATTACTTCCAAGTATGTATTGAATTTCTTTGTTTTAAACTAGATTCAAGAGAGAAGGTTCTATAATCGACGCGTGTGTTTTCATTATGTAACATCGTACCTACTTACATTTAAGAAAACATACGCGTCGAATATAGAACTGATTACACCGTTTTACATACACCCACCGATTTATCGGAAGTAGCTAAACCGGCGGAAAAAAATTTTTTTTTTTTTATTTAGAGATGCTCTCATACACATTTAAAGAAAACATGATGAAGGTATTAACGTAACTATTTAGACCACAGATACTTTTGAAGTGGGTTTAAACTTGTAACCAATGCGTGATTAAACGCATTGGCTACTTTGGTATTTTAATTAAGTATATCTAAATTTAATAATATTGGCGTATTAATATAAATACCACAATGACTTGTAATTACAAAAATAAAAATTACTAAAGGAAATTACAGGTTATGGGGCGACTTATTATGTGGAATGTTACAACATATACATATCCTCGATTGCTATACTTTCCGCATTCTTAATTTTATTTGCCTAAGTAAAAAAAATGTGTGCACATTTTTCACACACAGCAGAAGTGAAACCTTCAAAAACCAAACTTCGAGAGAATGAGGCGAATGCAGAGCCAGAAGTAGGATAATTGTGAGGTTGATATAATTAAGATATGAATAATTTTTTAATAAACACTGTATACTGTATTCTATCTCATTCTCCCGCAGGCTAAATCCTATTGATATATATGTTTGTCTTTTTTTATAAAATAGGACGACAAACGAGTACAGTCCATCTGATGGTAAGTGGTCATTGTGGCCCATAGACATCTACATCTAACCTCGATTACGAATCAAAATGCAGATGCATTGTCATCCGTGAAGACTAAGATGGAATGCCTCGTTTTCAGTAAAAAGTGTCTCCGATTCTCAACACTCACCACACGAAGCACAGCAGCATTAAGCCATTATTTTTTGCTGTGGTATTCTGTGAGAGCGTGGTTCTTCCCCGGTCGAGCCGACCCATTCGTGCTACAACTATGCTACTAATATAACTGCAGCATGGCTCCACCACGTAAATACAGACAGCAACAAAATATATTTTCAGTGTAACTTTATCGTTTCATCGACTTTAAAATCACTACGATTGTAAAGAAGTTTTAATTTCGAAAATGTTGAATTGATAATTTTCAGGTTTCAATAGCAGACGACAAGTTAGCCGCGGGGCCGTTGGTTGCCAAAGTGTACGACTCGAGCCTTATCAAAGTAACAGACGTTGGAAACGCCGTAGTTGGACAACAGTCCCAGTTTAGAGGTAAAGTTGTCTAATTGCCCGCTTCTATTTCAACACCTACCCAACTAAAATTGAGTAAGTTCGAGGGTGGACTCGTAACATTACCTATGTTGTAAACTTTCTGAATATACACAAATGAAACTTTCAGAGGAATAAACTAAGGCTTATAATTTAGTTCAAAATAAGTTTTAAATGAACGCAAAGATGTATTTACTGTCTGGGTTCGTTAGTTATGTTTTACTTTTGAAAGTTGTCAACGAAACAAGTTTTTATATGAGTGACTCAGTTATACGCAAAAATAAAGGGGCACTTACTCATCCCGACATGTGAGTATTCGATGTCCGGCTTCAGCTTGAGATCGAAGGTGAACCTGAATGTTGTTGTAAGGCACAGGAATAGACTATTTGTCCTACTAGTATGAGAGTGAGATTTTAACCTAGGACCAGCAGTAGGTAGGAATAGGTACCACGGGAGTTCGCAACTGAACAAACTTTTGTGTACTTTTAATTTATGTTTCCTTTATCATCACATCACATCATACAGTCTTCCTCTTAAGCAGACTAACAAAAGTACAAGACTAGAGAGGAACCCCCTATAGTAAAGAATTCCGTCTAAAGAGGATCGTGGGCGCTTCTGAATCGATGGCCCTTTACTCCGAAGGACCACTAGCCAAAACCTTTAACGCTGGCTGTCACAGTAGCAATCCGGCGAGGCTTCCAGTTCCTAACTCGTCGATCTAAGTCACACTACGTTGGGTTCGAGACAACGCAGTGGATGCACCCTTCGATAACGCCTACTTCAGAAACACACACGCCTCTTCTGTGTTTGATGCCTGAGATTACGGGTCCGCACTTGATCCCGGTCTAGACATCAAATATGTGGACTGTATATTTACTTCACTTTCCCTAACTTTAGGGTCAACACTGGGAATGAAACAGCGATTTTCTTGAAAATTCTTGAGAAATGTGATAACCGGGGAACCTTTTGAATCTTGCTGTTGATTTTTTGGAACTTAACTGTAGTGGAGATCTCGAAGAAATTGCGTATGACTCGCCATGAGGTATTTATGCTTTTCTAGCTATAGCGTAAAGTGGGCTATGTGCAAAAAGCCTCCTATTTCGCGCGCAGTTTTCGTTATCACATTTCTTTTTTATCGAAATATCTTTATTTTCAACAAAAACACATACAAAAATTATGCTTTTCCGAAAAGAACACATAAGATTACAAATAATAACAACAAAACATATACATTTTGCATGACATTTATAAAATACAAAGCATTATTAGGTAATTTACACCTTATCATACGTGTCGTACACCTTAAAATCTTAAATATTAAGCTTTAGTACAACTTACAGTAACAAATATTGTTCAATTTACACAGGTCTTATCATAATTAACACTTATCTTAAACAAATAGACAGCTAAGACAGAAAACAAAGCTTTAATCGATTTTTTTAAACAAAGTTTTAAGCAATTTTTATCTACAAAATATGATAAGAGGCTCTCGCCCTCTCGCTCTAGCAATGGCTATCCTTGTTTTTCCTTAACATATATGTTTACTACTCTAACATTGTATTATCTCTTTCTTTCTTTGAAAACAGTGGAAGTTTGTTAGAACTAATAATAAACAATATTTCGAATTACTTTAATAAAATTTCTTAATTTCAGTTCGTGTTGCGCAACCGATTGTTACGTAACACATGACTTTAAGTTAAAACAAATGTTCGTTCATCCATCGCTACATTCACATGACATTCATGCATTCACACACTGTCTTAAGCTTCAGGGATTAGCCTTTCTATATAAACATTGGTTTACTGATTTTATTCTTGCGACGCTAACACCGTCATATAACAAAAATTCACATTAATTATTATTCTTCAAATTTTTTATTTTCAGTCGATGCCAGCGCCGCCGGTGAAGGACAATTAGAAATTTCAATAAACGAGGGTGAAGTCCCCAATCATGTGCAGGTAAGAACTTAATTTCATTTAATTTCACTTGCACTTGGTAATAAAACGTTATAGTGTGCACTAAAAACGTTGAAACACCGGCTTTCATGTTCATACGAGTACAAAACTAAAGTATGAAACCGATCTAAATGCTTAAATGTGTAAAACAGGGTGAAGTTTTGTTTAAAAGACTGGACTGAAACATTAGTTGCAAATACATTCCTTCGACTTGCCGATGTTAAACGAATTTTTCGAACGACATTAAACGAAGTTAAGGTAGGTAAATGTGGAAAAGAAGGTCATTTTTAATTTTACATACTATTGTATGTAGGGAACACTACCTTCGATGTACAAAATAAACTAGTAAGTCTTAAACGATTAAATGTGTCCAACTTTTTTTTTACTTTTTAATAAGAATGACAAATGAGCACACAGTCCACCTGATGATAAGTGATGCGGTGGCCCATAGACATCTACATTTATCATCGATTGAGAATCAAAACGCAGATGCATTGTCACCCCTGAGGACTAAGATGGAATGCCTCGTTTCCACTAAAAAAAGGGTCTCTGGATCTCTACTCATACGAAACACAGCAGTATTAAGCTGCTATTTCACGCTGGTATTCTGTGAGAGCGTGGTCCTTCCCCGGTCGAGTCGACCTATTCAGGCTACAACCATAATATAGCTGCAGCGTGGCTCTACCACGTGTAAATTTTTTTTATCTGATATATAATTTTTATATTTGAAAGGCTCACTTGAGAAATTGCGATATTGCTGGTCAAGGACTTTGACAAGGAGATAGGGTGTAATGACAGAAATCGTAATAATAAGATATTATTACTAATTCCGTGGGTGTAATTATATGAAATGATATTAAAATATCTAAGTATAATCACAGGCGAACGTTGTTTCGAGTAGATTGTTCTCATTAATTTTTTTATAAAGTAAGGGTGAAAAACGATCACACAATCTACATCTATCCTAAGTTATGAATCAAAATGTGAATACGTTGTCACCTCTGAAGACTAAGATTGCATGCCTTGTAACCAGTGAAAAAGGTGTGAAATGCCTTGTAAACAGCATACTGCTATTTTACGCTGGTATTCGGTGAGAACGTGTTTCTTCCTCGGTCGTGCTGATCCACGTTAAATTTTAATACGTATTGTTCGTTATTTTGCTACACTCTATTAAAATGCTTTTCCATTTTCTGATCATCAGGTAGTAGGTGGAGGTCGATGCCTAGTCTTCTGGAGGCCGGAAACTCCGACACCTCATCGCGTGGATATCAAATTCAATGGAGAACCGGTACCGTCATCGCCTTTTATCTTTGACGTCGCACCGGCACAAAGAGTTACAATAGATACATCGCAAATTGGTAAGTTCATTAGTTATTAAATTGGTAACAAAGTCACTATAGTCTGTCCTTTTCCACTGCAATTTTCCATTAACTTAAATAATGTTTTTATTTTTACGTGGAAGGCCGAGAATGGATCAGTTTGACCCGGGTTCGACAGCAAAATTATGCAGTGTGTCGTAGGTTGAGTGTAGAAAGCTGGAGACCCTTTTTACTGTTAACAAGGCATTCTGCTTAGTTCATTCATCTTAGTCCTCGAGGTTGACAACGTATCTGCATTTTGATTTATACCATCATGTTGACTGTGTGTTCGCTTGTCAGAATAGAATATGATTCATTTAAGATCATTTAATGTGAAATATCATATTTTGTTTATACATATAAAATTTTTCGACGCCACGGACATGTACTTATGGACGTTAAACTTTTCATGCTCTATACGCCACGACTTCATTAAAATTCAAGTATTGTAGGTGTCTTAACAGATTCAATATCCTTGGTTGAAACTATCTAAAGCCTAAGCCTAAGCCCGTTAAACTCGCCTAAAAGCAATTGATGACGTGCCCCCAAATCAACAAAAATAATTATAAATACGTATTCTTAATTCGTCCTTTTATATGTTTAATATTTTTTTGAACTGATTTTAGTAATAATTCATACTTATAATAAATAGGTGGAATCAGTGGAATAAACTTTGAGAAAATAATCATCCCTAAGAGTGAAAAATAGGAGACGGATTTTTTACCTAATGTTTATACGATATTATTCATTTCTAGCATTTACGTTCCTGTTTATAAAATTTTAGCTAGGCGCCTGGTGAGGCATTGAGTCCTTTTAAGCTTGGCGTTAAAAAGACGTAGTAATTTAATACCGTTTGTTCACTTTAAAGTTTGCATAGAAATATTTTAATTCATTTATAATATAATATGTGAGGGTAACAAGGTCATCCGGTCGGTATGGTCACTTTCTTATAACTCAAAACCTACAGCATTGTTTGCATAGATCGAAGTCAATTAAATATTAAAGGGTGAAAAGGGCGTTACTGCATCGATGCCATTTTGACAGTTGACGTTATAGTAAATATTTTAGTCGATATTAGTATTTTGTATTGTACAGTAGACCCCCGGTAATCCGGCCCCTGGCTAATCCGCATCCCCCTTTAATCCAACATGCCTTAAATGAATCCGCCATGGGGGTCGGGGAGGGGAGGTGTTCTTCGAGAATACGTGGACAAACAGGTTGCATTTATTTCAGGCCATTGTCTCAGTTTAAGTGTAACTATGGGTTTGCAACCTGGCAGACATTCATCATTTACTTCATTCTGCATTACATTGCTTTTTTTATTATTTAATATTTGATATGTAATTTGTCGGATTACAAGGTACTCTTTTTCAAAAAGTTCCGGACTAACAGGGGGCTGTGGCAGTACTCTATAGTCCGACAAATTTGATAATCCGACACCGTCTTGCAAAACGTTTGTCGGATTAGCGCGGGTCTACTGTATTTAGTCTTATTTAGGTTGATTTTTCGAAGTGTTCCTAATTTTGTCTATGTCCTCCTCGTGGTTTTGGTTTTATAGGGTTATATACCTTACATAAAACCCTATCCATTACAACCTATAACAGCACACTGCTGAAGGCCTCCCACATAGGTTGCCTCGTTGCGGGACTCCTGTTTCATTTTCCTTCTGTCTCCTCTTACTACACCCTCGGGACGATTAGTTAACATGGATAAAATTAGTGAGGTTAAAGATAATATATGTATTTCTTAAAGCCTTCATCTAAAGGACTTTCAAGTATAATTTAAGTTATAAATTGCCCTTACGGCACTTTTTTTACAAAACGACATAGGTGTAGTTTCACTCTCAGTCGCGTTTCCCCATATCAATATTCCTTATACTATATGATATCACGCTGTGAAAATAATTAAAATAACCCAATTCGGCTGTTTCAACATTGGTGAGCCTAGTGTCTATAGCCTAGCTGAATGCTAATTTAAATAACTAAATTTGTGAGGGCCCAACTGGAGCTTCGCGTCATTAGTAAATCCAGTTCACGGGTGAACAAGCAAGAAACGCATCATTGTAAAAGTTTTTGGTGGTAACTTGACTGTCAGTAGACTGGTGCTCTTGTATTATCATTAAAAATAAAGTTTGATGTGGATTTAGATACGTAAATGTGGTGCGATTTTGTATATAAAATTTCTTCGTATGCAAACTACGGGAAAGTGGACTACAGTGAATCACTTTTTTTTAAAGATGATAAAAAGTAGTATATAGACGATTAATTACTATTTTTACAGCTTGATTCGTGGCAAGAAATATTTGTTGGCAATTAATAATTATAACAAACCTTATTAAACGATTTGTGAAATAAGAATAGAAGGGGAGTTGATCGAGTAAGTAGATGAGTTTGTATATTTGGGCTGCGTATTTAGCAGGGATGGGAGATATGATAGGGATATAGAACGACGAGTGAATGCGGGAAATAGAATAGATGGGGCCCTGCACTCTACTGTGAACAGTCAAAATGTGTCAAAAAAGGCACGTAGGGCAATTCACAATGCTGTGTTGGTCCCTACTTTAACGTATGGTAGTGAAAGTTGAGTGTGGCAGAAGAAGCACGAGAGTAGAATGAACGCAGTATAAATGCGGTCGTTAAGGAGTATGTTAGGGCTGAATCTGAATGACAGGGTAAGAAATTGTGTAATAACAGAAGAGTGTGGTTTGCAAGATGATGTTGTGACCAGGATTAAGAAAGGAATGCTTCGGTGGTTTGGTCATGTGGAAAGAATGAATGAGGAAAGAGTGACAAAGAAAATTTATGTTGCAGAAGTGAATGGCAGAGTCGGAAAGGGACGTCCTAGGCGAAAATTTATCGACCAAATTGGCGATTTATTGAAAACGGGCCAAATTAGGAGTACCCTTAACCGACGAGCATGTATGCGTAGGTGTATGGATGTGAAGGAGGCGAGAGAGGTGTGTCAGGATCGTGCCAAATGGAAGTCTGTAGTCTCTGCCTACCCCTCTGGGTGACAGGTGTGAGTGTTATATATATAACTTCCTTATACTGTATCAAAAAATAATCTTAAAACTATTATGAACTTATTCAAATTATTGTTCTAACATTTTAATTGTAGTGGCAAGCTCAGATAAAATAAATAACTCTTGTAAAAAAAGAAGCAAAATTAATCTTCTAATTTTCATTAACCATTAACATTACCTACGAGGTAACAAAAAAACACATACGAGATAATATTAAACGTACTGACACTATCTTTTTAGGTGTTCGCAGACTCAAATCTGAATATCATTTTGTAAACTCTTAATATCATTTAATTTCAGCTCATTTTGTGTCATATTATGTCATGTAATTTCTGGTATTTGTAAATTGTCTAACCTCTGTTGGAATTAGAGCATTACTATTACCACTGCTTTTTGTCACTTTTCTAAATAACCCCTGCAGAATAGTGTACGGAATATTACAATTATTTCATTGGATCGCAATCCACTGTGCCGAATCAAGAAACGGTCTACTGTTACCCAACACACCATATTTTAAAATCTAAAGCATTTTTATAATTAACATCACCTGTACTACCGTAAATTATTTAGTGAAATACACAACACAGAAAAGGACGTATGGTCTAAAAACTTTGCCTGCCTTAGCGTCAAACAACAACCGACATAACCTAACAAAAAAATTTCAAACAGTAAACAGCATAGTCATTAGTCAGTGATCTATGGTAAACAGTTTAACACAAACACAAACAGTTTAACTTTAACCTACTTGGTCTAAGTCTATGGTTTAATCAAGTTATCAGGCAGTAACATTATTTATTTACTTTGTTTACTTTATTTTCGTATCTCAAAGGTTAATATATACCTCTAAACGCTTTAAATTCACTAAATTAGTTCAATAAAATGGCGTATAATGTATCATAAAGCACAATTATTGCAGATAATATCAGAAGAAACTCTTAGGATTTTGATACCGAAGGTCCGAAGGGACTTCCTGACTATTCTCACCACAGAACATTAATACCCCTAAAGGGGATTCTCACAGTGAGAATATGTAGAGAATTCGCAAAATTAAAATTTAGTCAGTATATATCTAAAACACCTCGCTAACTTTCATCGCAGAGCAGGCAATCATTTACTTTGTTAGTTAAGAAATGAACATTCTTTGAGGTTCATCATTATAATGTTAAATGCATTACATCCTCAGAATTACATCATTGTATTTTTGTTTCAACTTTCTAATAATATTATGAGATGCGAAAAAATGCACAAAAGCCCATTTTAAATTATCAATATTGTTAAAAAAATTGTAAGATTGTGTGTTCTTTTTTTTTTCTTGAGGAAGGGTGTTATTGAAAAGATAAGGCCAACCCCCTTTCACTTGTAACCTCTCCACCCCATTGAAACAGAAACAGAAACTTTTTTATTCAATGTAGATTATAAACAATACTAATTGAAAGTTACTTTTTTCATTTACCACTGGTTCGTAAAAATACCTCTGCCCTGGCAAGAAACCCAGCGGGACTATTTTTTTTTCAAATAATAGCTTACAATCATGTTAACAATTAACAACACAAGACAAATTAGAAATAGCTTGGTAGCGAGATCACCCTTCCCAGGGGTTATTATCATCCATAAATTCCTTAACATTATAATAACCCTTCTTATAAAAACAACATTTACCTAATTCTTTGTTATTGTTGTTACAGAATTAATACCAGTTGGAGAAGTAGCATCATGTTCTGTGAGAGTAGAAGGTTCAGGTGGAGGGGAGCTGACAGTAATTGTGAAAGGGCCTCGAGGAGAAGTACCGGTTCGCCTCACAGGTGATGCAGCATCTGGGCTCGTAGCCAGCTTTACACCCAAAAATGTTGGCCCACATACCCTTACAGCACATTATAACAACCAGCCAGTACCTGTAAGTACTAGTTTTAATATAAAATGTATTTTATCAGAAAAGACAATTTAATTAAGGTACCTGAAATAGGTGGAAGTAGCAGTCTATCTATGAGTACAACTTGGTCAATACAATTAGCTGCATGACAGGAATGCAGTTTTGGCATCTGCTCCATGTCTCTATCCCTGCACTTTCTCTAGTAACAAATCACTGTTCCGGTGTTTCCTCCCTAGTTCTAATGACAGCTGTTTAGCTCAACTGTTATGCACCTAATTGATTTGGTCACATAGTATATAGATAGATTGCTTCTTCTACTTCTTATGCAACTCATAGCAAACTAATAACAGTGAATTTTTTGTGTAGGGAACACCTTTTATATGTAAAGCATATGATGGAAAACTAGTGAGTGTGAGTGGTGGTGCATCGGCACGTGTGGGAGTACCAGTTCAACTTGCGGTAGATGCAGCACAAGCTGGTGAAGGGAACCTTGAGATCACTGTGGCTGCACGGGGATTAAATATCCCTACTCAGGTCCACCCACAGGTAAATAAAATATTTGCTTAATAATTACATATCACATATATCCTCACAACAGTTTTTTACAGATCGTACCTTAACAAGGAGATTATAAACTTTTTTCCTTTTTTTATTTACAGGGGAATGCCCGCTTTACAGTCTCATTCACCCCAACAGAGGCGTGTGAACATATTGTCAATGTTTCCTTTAATAAGGTTAGTTTTAACTTATATAACCTATTTATATTCTTGAAATTTTTATTTTATTATTCTTGCACTTACTGGTTATTTAAAATATATTGCTATTTGTAATTTATTTATGTATTGTGTGATGAATAATTGTAGTCATGGGCTAAAAATATTTACCACTCCATATCACACCATAGGCATTGTAAGAGGTGACAGATATATAAGGATGGAAACTTAAACAGGAGATGAACAAGAGCATCTCCCTGATAACAATTCAACATTATAAAAACTACAGTTGCCAACCAAATATACCCTATTTATTTCTTTGATATACAAAAATAACATTTTGTTTATGAAATGTTATTTTTCAAATTTACAAGTATACGAAAATTATGTTTCCCTGACTGGAGAAATAACAGTAATCTTTTGGAATTTCTTAAGTTATAATACAATAGCGTTGTAAACACAGAATGGAAAATGATACCGGACATACCCATATTTTAATCATTTTTATCTTTCAGGATATTATTAATAACAATAAAAATTCATATTGAATCCGACCTGTCGTCATGTATGGAAGTGAATGCTGGGCCGTCAAGAAGAAGGATGAAAATAGATTGCATGCGAATGAAATGAGAATGTTACGATGGATGTGTGGTGTGACAAGGATGGATAAAATAAGGAATGAGTATATAAGAGGAAGCCTAAAAGTAGCGCGAGTGATAGAAAAGGTGAGAGGAAGCAGATTGGCATGGTTTGGGCATGTGATGCGGAGGGATGAAAGTCATGTCACAAAACGAGTGTTGAATATGAATGTAGAGGGACACACGGGCAGAGGAAGGCTGAATAAAAGATGGATCGATTGTGTGAAGAGTGATATGAGAATGAAAGGAGTAAGTATGGAAATGACGGCTGATAGAGAGAAATGGAACAAGAAGATTTACTGCGCCGACCCCAGATAATGGGAAATGGTTTAGAGAATGATGATTGAATCTGTGATGTTGTGAGGGATCAATGTCGAATTATGATATATCATAATACCAAAGCTGGTTTTGTCTACAAATTAGGAGATGAACTTAGATTTAAGCTTCTAATATAACTAACATGTTTCTAAATAAAAAATAAAATAAAAATGCAATGTTACTGCCAGTGGATTTTTTCCTTGGCTTTATATAAATATCCATGTCTTACACAGATTGAGAATGGAGTGTTTTGGATTCCTCTACTAAGGGTATATACAAAGTACTTTATTAGTCATAAAAGCAATTTTATTATTTACCTACCTTTTTAATGATTTTGGTTTACTTTTATGTAGATTCTTTCAATACAATATTATGTTACCAACACTCAGAATATTATTTTATATAATTTTCTCAACTCAGTATAACGAAGGGTTCTTAAGTTTTAAGCTTCATCTTTACAATCAAATGATCTTATAGATTCGCCTCTTAATTATGTTATGCCGCTGTATTAAAGGAACATTTCATGTATTTATCAATTTTTAGAATAATTAATTAGTGACATAGTTTCAAGTTTAATTAAACCACTGATTTCATTTCGGATATTTCCGTGCAATAATAAAACTCCTCTTGTCCAGGATACAAAGTCTAGCAGAGTGTTGCACTTTGCAGAACTAACTTCTTTATCAGAAGTACTTTTTATATACCTTGCTATTATATTTATATATTTACTTATATACTTTGATGTTTTCGAAAGGCGAATCCAGTCACTTTTAGAATTAATACATTAAAATATAAGTGAACCAATAGATTTGTTAATCCAAATCACAAATTCAAAAGATCCTTTATTTAAACATAAAAAGTTAAGACGCATGTACTCACTTAGTCCTGAGTACATCAAGCCATCAGCTGAAAGTCACCCACCACATGCCTTTGTTGTGGCAAAATATTGTAAAGACTGAAATACTCATGAAACCACCAAAATATATTATGTGAAAGAACTATTGTTTCTACTGCAGGCAAAACTAAATTATATATTTATATTATAACTTAAATATTAAGTATTGATGATGAAACTCGGCACTTTCAAGATTTACACTAGACTATGGGGCAAGGCGAGCCCTAGCCAAAGAATTGCAAATCGCAAGTGCAGCTTCATATCATACATGACACCTTTTAGAATTAAATAACTTCCTGACTGACAAAAACTATGCAACTTATGCCGTTACAAACAATGTTACATTACTACCAAAATAATCTGTTTTATTACCTAACAGATGCGTGTACCAGGTTGTCCACTTATTGTGGCCGTGGCAGAAGGAGGAGGTGGAGGAGCACGAGTAACATTGCCAGGCCCTGTACCACTACACCAGCCTGCAGCATTAACATTACATCACCCAACTGCCACACTTGACCAAATAGAAGTCAATGTAGAAGGTAAGTCTAACCTAATTACTTATATTACATAATAGTTAAAAATTTATAATTCCACAATTCTGTATATTATCAGTATATATACTTGTCTAAATTTATCTATATATTATGTTATACATATGTATAAACACATTTTTAAGCTTAGCATACTCACTAATAAAAAAGGTCAAGTTCTTATGAAATATAAATTGTTTTTTAACTAAATGATTACACTAAGATACCTTGAAATTAATTTGGAATAATATATAAAGTCAAATTAAATGATATTGACAAAATGATAGATACTTATGTTGCTTATTTGTGTATTGGACTTGTAGTACGTATTATCTTGTCCTTTGTTTTCTTGTTACTTCTTGTAAATAAAAAATAGTATTGTTTTTTAATTTTTTTATATAGAATAGGATGACAAACAAGCACACAGTCCGCCTGACTGTAAGTGGTTACTGTGGCCCATAGACATCTACATCTATCCTCGATTACGAATCAAAATGTAGATGCGTTGTCACCCATGAGGACTAAGCTGGAAAGCCTCGTTTATAGTAAAAAGAGTCTCTGGTTCTTTACACTCGACTCGTACCATACGAAACATAGCAGCATTAAGCTACTATTTCACGCTGGTATTCTGTGAGAGCGTGGTCCTTCGCCGGTCGAGCCGACCCATTTGTGCTACAACTGTATTACTAATATAACTGCAGCATGGCACTACCGCGTATAAAAAGGTTAAGTATTTAATTAAGTACAAAAGATTAACGAAAGCAGGGTAGAAATGACTTTAGAGTCCATGTAATTAAGTATATTAACCATTCTTCAATTTTAAATATTGCCAATGTTGATTTATTACAGTATTTTCCACAAGCATCAATATTTAATAAATACAAAATAAATACAAACGCATACATAATCAAAATAAATACAAAGATTGTTTCAAGAACAATTAGAAACCAACATTTTAACCTCTTATAAAATTACTACTAGGAATATATTGTTTCTTTACAGGGTGGTATAAATGAGGAAGGGTACAATTTGAATTGAATCAGATAAAAGAAATTATCAAATCGTTTATAAATGGGGTTTAAAAATTTGATCATGAAAAATTAAAACAACAAGTTTTAGTGTTAAATAATTTCACTTTAACTCGCTTTTGCTATTCTAACAACACCCACCCTATTTAACTTCTTTGTTTTAATTATTTCTTAAATGCACGAAAAATATATCACGCTCAATTCAGTAATATATAATTATGTTTTTAATATTTTAATCATCACTAACCTAGGATAAGGAACGTCAAGTGCTGAAAGTCAATAAAATATAAAATAGTGCACACATTTTGAGAAAGTGTATAGTGCATTCCATTTTTGTTTTTATTCAAATTAATAGCATCGATGTAACATTTCAATATTGTTTCTTGATTATAAAAGCTCATCCGCTTCGCCTTAACTTCTAACACACAGAAATTTTAAAAAATATCAGATAGTAGGGAAAGAAATTTTTGGGATAGTAGATTGTAACATTAGAGATAACTTGGTGTGGGGAAGCAAGTATCATCGAGATTGATAGAGTAGTAGGAAAAGAGGTTAGGGCGTGGCGGAGAGCTGAGCGTGATGCGGGGGCGTAGGTCCAAATGGGGCGTCAGTGCCGGCGGCCGTGGCGGCGGCGGGTCCAGCCGCTTTCCGTGCAGAGTTCGTTCCACGCGCCGTGGGCGAGCATCGCCTTAATGTACTCGTTGACTCCGTGCCAATTCCTGCCAGCCCATTTCATTTAAAGGTGCGTTTTTATGTCTTTATTATTTAAATCATGCTATTGTTTTGAAAATTGGAAATATAATTTACTCTTTAGTTAAAAAAGAAAAATAAAACTTCAAATTAGTGAATTTCTGGTTATAAAATTACTAAATGTTAGCTTAACGTCTTTAACTTTTTTGTTCTTAAAATTGTGAGTATTTTCTTATTTATAGACATCCAGAATATTTTTATATGTTAAGAAGACTTAGAAATTATTTTTAACTCAATTGTGGTTAAATAATTTAAAACATAATAATACGTGAAATATAAATATATAAAGTATTTTTTTTTTGCGCCCGAAGCAATTAAAGGGCTACCCTGTACGTAGGGAGGCGGAAAATGCATTACGCATACCACGATAGCCGGTCTATCGTGGTTATGGGGGACTCACTGTCCTACCGGGGACCCTAAGTGATACCCCCTAAAAACCGCCTTTGGGGACAGGCAACCGGCTGATTAAGCTCTATTGTGCCTTATCATGAGCGACCCTCTTTTGGGAAAAGAGGGCGCAGGCGGCTAAGTGCCGCTGAGGGAGTGCCTACGAAGGCAAATTATATTGTCAGATATTACAATAATTTTATTTAATTAGAGTTGGCCTGAGCCGCCAGGAGACAGTTCAGGTCGTTTGAAAGTTTATTAGGCGGGTCCGAGAGAGAGTTTCTCGGCCTGCGGACACGATAGCGAGAGGGGGGGTGGGGCTGCATAAGAAGCTGCCTCACGAATTAAATGGTTTGGGTGCGACTCTGAGGCTTTGAAGAAGTTCTCAGAGAGTTTTTTAAGAAATTGTTGAATTGTTGGGAGCTCTAAGTCCCGATGAAGGTCGGCATTACGAACGTACCACGGTGCGTTCGCAGCTCGACGACAGAATAGGTTCTGAACTATTTGGAGTTCATTTAAAATGTTAGGGTTTGCGTGGGCAAAGACGGGGCCCGCGTAGGACATGACTGGTCGTATACATACCTTGTAGAGGGTACGCTTGTTTCGAAGGGACATTTTACTGTGTCGGCCCAACATACTGTTGAGCCTACTCAGATAAAATCGTGCGTGACGGGTTACTCTTTTGACGTGGGGCTTGAAAGTAAGCCCTGTGTCTAGAGTGACACCTAAATATTTGGCGGACGTATGCCAGGGGACAGGGGTCCCTAGCATACGTATTGGAGGAGTGTTTTTGAGACGGCGTCGTTTATAATCGAAGTGAACGGCGGAGCTCTTCTCCGGGTTCACATCGATGCGCCATTTTTTGAACCAAGCTCCTAGGTCATCAACTGACTTTTGGATCTTGTTCCGTATGAAGGGTAGTGAGACACCTTTGCAGTAGATGGCAGTGTCGTCTGCAAAGAGGGAGAGTTGAACACCTTTCGACGGGATGGGAATGTCGTTGGTGAACAGGATGTACAGCAGAGGAGCAAGTACTGAGCCCTGAGGGACACCAGCCTTGATAGTTCGCTGTGAAGAAAGCGTGCCTTCGTGTCTAAAACGAAAGGTACGATGTTTTAAATAGGAGGCCACGAGACGAACTAGACGATCGGGGAGACCTATTTTATAGAGCTTGTAGATGAGGCCTGTGTGCCAGACTCTATCGAAAGCTTTGGCTATATCGAAGAAGACCGCGATGGTTTTATGACGTCGAGGGTAGAAACCGCTGAGGATATATTCCACAATGCGGTGAACTTGTTGGGGACATGAGTGTTTGGCTCGGAAGCCGAATTGGTGGGGGATGATGAGAGGGTCGCCGTCTGTGGGAAACAGAAAGCGCCTCATACGCGTTTGAATGACTCTTTCGAAGAGCTTGCCCATTGCCTTGAGGAGGCTAATGGGGCGATGGCTGGAGGGGGAGGTTGAGAGGCTTACCTGGCTTGGGAATTCCAATCACAGTTGCCTCTTTCCACGTAGTGGGAAAATAACTAAGGTTGAAGCAGGCGTTGAAGATAATAGATAAAAAGGTTAACACCTGCTCGGGAAAGTGTTTAAGGGCTTGGTTGGAGATGCCATCCGCGCCCGGAGCCTTTTTGGGCTTAAGTCCTTTGATGAGAGATGAAATCTCATCATTGGACACAGAGATAGGTTCGGAGGCCGTGGGGGGTGAGTTCCGGCGGCGGACCTCATCCTCCACTGCCTGGACGTGTGAGGGGTCGACAGGTTGAGAACTAGGGGAGCATTGAGCGGCAATGCTATCCGCAAAGCACTCAGCCTTTTCCTCGTCCTCGAAGGCAACTGTGCCGTCGGGACGGGAGAGAGGGGGAGTGTGGGTGATAGCGTCTATGCGGAGGGCTCTAGCCATCTGATAGTACGCTGTGTGAGATGGAGAGATATTCTCCATGAGCTTACTCTTTTCGAGATCTTGAAATTCAGAGAGGCGGAAGCGGAGTTTTCGTTGAAGACGATTGGCCGCGCGCCTATATTCGGGGGTGGGATATTTTGCTGCTCTCCGGAAAGCAGCTTTTTTGGCTTTTATTAGGTTGCTAATATGTAGGGGAAGCCCACTATTGTTAGCAACCGGGACGGCCCTTTCGTTCTCCTTAAGGGAGGATTTAATAAGGGTGGAGAGTGAATCGACCGCGGTGTCGATTTTTTCGGGACTGTCTAAGTCCGTCGGCATGGAGATGGTAGAATCCTGTGAGTCCAGGGCTTTAGCTAGGGACTCCTTGAATCCCTTCCAGTTAGTGAAGGTTTTCGTGTGTGTTGGGGGAGGTGGCTGATGGCCAAGAATGAGGGAGACCGGTCGGTGATCTGATCCTAGATCGTCTAGTGTCTCGATTGCTCTGAGGTTGAGAGAAACTCCTTGGAGTAACGCAAAATCTAACACATCAGGTGAGTGATCGGTGTTATCGGGAAAGTGAGTAACACCGAGAGGACTATGGACGGTGATATCAAGAGACTGCGTGATATTGAGCAGTATCTTGCCACTAGGGGACGTAGTGCGGCATGTCCATTCAGTATGCTTTGAGTTAAAATCTCCAAACATAATGACTGAATTGCCCAAGGATAAAATGGCCTCAAAATCTTTTTTGAGGGGATAGGTTCCTGAAGGGATGTAACAGGAGGCTATGAGGATGGACTGATGTCCAGTCATAGCTAGCCTGCATACCGTGGCTTCCATGTTGGTAAGCTGCGGAGTAGAAATGGGCGAGCAGTGAAGTGTCTTCTTGTAATAGATGGCCGTTCCGCCGCCTCGGCGGTCGGTTCTGTCATTACGAAGAAGAGAGAAGTTTTTAATAGAAAGGCCTCTAGTGTCCTTAGCTTTGAGATTAGTTTCCTGTAGGAGGAGGAAATCGACTTCACGATTTCGAAGAAAGAGCTTAAGCTCTGGGAGGTTATTTCGCAAGCCGCGAATATTAAATGATACAACCGATAAACCCTTAGGTTTGATACGACCATGGGATCTTGGTAGGTTAGTTTGCTCAGGCATTAGAGTTAAGTTAATTACGTTAACTTAACTTACAACGCTAGCAGAAGATCGTTATGTTCGGCAAGAGCGAGGAGACGCTCTTGGGGGGACTTCGCCGCGCGCAGTTTGCGTGCTATAACTGTAATTTCTCTAACATCTATATTCCTAATCGCGGAGTATAGCGTGTTGTAGTCGTCTGTTGTGGGCTCTGCCTCGTGTGCGTACGAGGTTGTCCGCGGAGGGGTATAAAGTATGTGTCCACACACAATTTATAGTCTGTTCGCGTTAAGAAAATAGTGAGTCATCAGTGCAACTACAGGGTAAAGGTATGGTCACAGTGGAGTAAAAATTCTTTTTCTTTTTCAAACATTTAATTAAGTTTAATGGAAATAAATTTTCTTAAAATTACTGAAATCACTAATCAGTATCGCTAGATTTTCCAGTTACATTAATTATGAAAGAATTTTTGTTCTTTAATAATTTTATAAACAGTATTTTCGGACACACCACATGCACTTGCTGTTTTTATTACTGTGCTCTCCACAGTCGCATTTAAATCACACAATTTAAAGTACTTATAAACATTGTAAATTACGCGTCTCTCTCCGCTATGGATTATTGATCCACTTTTATTCTTTCGAATAGGTGAGGCATTCATTTTCAAAATTTAATGTTGAACGAGTAACACGCAAAATATACTACCGTTTTGTTCGAAGGCCTGACTTCAACTGGTCACTGATCACTGTAAACTCGACTTTCTAATTTCTTGCATTTTAATTGGCTGGGGGGCGTGGCCAGGCCGGCGGACAAAGATGACTCACTATTTTCTTAACGCGAACGGACTATAAGTATTAATTAATATGATTCTACAGGTCTATGACGTCACTGCAATCCGAGTCAAAGATGTCGCACATGGAACAGTTGGAAAACCGGTGACATTTTTGGGTAAGTGTGTTGTTATGTCTGATGCTATGTTTAATTTGTTTTGTGTAGCTGATTGTGTGATATAATATAATATGATTGTAAACCGTTTTTTTAAAGGCCCACTAGCTTTCTTTTTGGTTCTTCTCAGAATATAGATATTTTTCGAACCAGTGGTAAATTAAACTGAAGAATGACTTTCAATAAGTATTATTTATAATCTATATTAAATTTAAAAAAGATAGGCAGCAGCGTCTTCCTAGTAAGAAACAGCGGTTGCCAAGCCGCCTGCCAAGGTTGGCACCTATATCAAATATCCCACTTTGAGTCAATCGATAGGCTGTAGCGGATTAACGGATGTGTTGTTGATGCAGTGGAGACGATGGCGGCGGGGCCGGGCAACCTCGAGGTGACGGTGAACGGCGGGCGCGTACCCACGGCGGCGGCGGCCCAGGGCGCACACACGTACGCGATCAGCTTCACGCCGCGCGACCCGCGCCCGCACACCGTCGAGCTGCGCTTCAACGGCGATCACGTGCCCGGTACCTTTCCTCACAATCATTTCTATATATATGTATATATATATATATATAATATAATAAAATTATTTATATTGTAATGCACAAAGTAGTATATATGGCGGACTTAATGCCATAGGGCATGCCGAGGTTTTTATTCTGCTCGTATCATGACCTAGCTCCGATTTTATCACATTAGCCAGTGGCGAAGCCTCTATACAAGCCCAGAAGCCCGGCTTGCCTCATTAAGATGAATCAATCAATTATATCAAGTAATAAAATAACTCGTAAACTGTTTCAAACTATTTCAAATTTCCCGCGCACTCTGTTTGACCTCGTAGCCTTAAGAATACTGCTGTCATACATAAAAGGAGAGTTGAGTTGAGCGGGCTTTCGAGAAGGCGATCGCTCCCTTTCTAACCTGTGGCAAAATGTTCTTTAATGAAATATAACTACGAAATGTTTATATAGCAATTACTATTGAGCCACAAGCCTGGTTTTGCCCTGAAGTTGTTTAGGAGTGCGTTAGCGACTAGCGAATGGGGTGCGGGCCATTCGTATGCAAGTTCACTTCACATTACAATGCTTGTTTGTTTTTGTTGTGTTTGTTAAAAATTTATGCTTTTTCAAAGATTTTCAGTGAAAATGGGAGGATAATAGTGTTCATTGTGATGAATATAAGTGTGTTGAAGTGCTAATCGGCGAGAAAAAGGTAAAATCCTTAAAAATGAAATTTAATATTCCATAAACATTTCTTCATAATTTAAATATAGTTACAGGACTCTTTAGTATTAAATTTTAATTAAGTTAGGCGTATTGAAATGTTTAATAACTCAATATTTATGTTAACATATGAATTAAAAATATCATATTGAACGGCAGCATAAAATATGAGACACCTAGGTTTAATTTTATAGGAAATAAGTGTTACAATGTTTTTTTAACGTGAAGCCCAAATTTTAATATAATAAATCAAAAGAATACAGAAGAATGTATTGAAGTTTTTAAAGAATACTCCTTTTAGTTATTTCCAGTATATAAAAATTTAATAGCGCTATCTACTTAATTATAAGTCATTTTATCGAACGAAAATTGGTTGATTCTCACGATGGTACCTAAAGATTACGCTAGATGGCACAAATACGCTATTTTAGGCTAATTTAATATTTGTATTACCATATGAGTTTAAAAATATCATTTTGTACGGTTTATTATGAATTGAAAATGAATAATTATATAATAAATAGTCATTATTTTATGGTAAAAAATTAATTATCTTCTCATTATTACTATTTAATTCCCGTCGTAATCTGTTCTTTATGCATATAACTTAAACAAAATAATTTCGAGGTTTCACATCTGCCAGGCGTCCCTTTTTTATCTTTGTACATAGTTTGTTTGTACTTTGTTCATGATTTTCTTTTGTTCATGTATTCTATTGTTTGTAAATATCTCAAGCAAACCCAAACGGCTCTTTTCAAAACCACCCAAGGTGTGCAATTGCATATTATGTCATACAATCTATCTAGCGGTAGTATGCTTTTTGTGAGCTTTGTTAAACACGTCCTTGACCACACTGAATATGAAACTAAAGAGTGGAGACTGCTCAAGATTGGTGTATTTTTATTAAATTGCTAAAAACAACAAAACCATATCTTGGGCTTGCCCTAGTTTGGAGCCCTAGCTTCGCCACTGACATTAGCGTTACATATTTTACGCGGTAGAGCCACGCTGCACCTATATTATAGTTGTAGCACTAGCGTGAATGTGTCGGCTCGACTGGGGCTCGCTCTAACAGAATACCAGCATAAATAGCAATGTAATGCTGCTGTGCTTATTATGGTGAGTGCAGAGAATGAACCTTTTACTGGATCGAGGAATTCCATCTTAGTTCTCAGGGGTGAAGACGCATTTGCATGTAGATGTCTATGGGTCACAGCATCCACTTACCATCAGGTGGACTGTGTGCTCGTTTGTCACCCAACACTTTAAAAAACATCGGGCATGTGTAGGTTGCGATGATTTAGAATTCCAAAAATATTGTAAAAAATTACCAACCCATGACGGGAAACAACTAATGTGAGACTTCTCATACTTCTACTACCATTGTCAAACCATTAACAAGTAAAGCAGTTACACCAAGCCCTTTCGACTTTGGAGAGGGCTCCGTGCCACAGTAAACTGTTCACATACTGCCATGGTAGGGATTATAATGATGATACCATTCGCAGGTAGCCCATTTGTGTGCCACATTTCGGCACCGGCACGCGTCATCGGTGCGGGATCAGGCGAGTCGCCCGACAAGGTTTCTGTGGGCGAAGCATACACATTCAGTGTTGACTCGCCCGCTTCACCACACGTCGAGGTTTTGGGACCAGCCAGGAGACCCGTTCCCGTACAGGTGATCTTTTTACTTTTGCTGATAGAAAAATAAAAGTCTTTAAATTGACTGGAAAAGTTTTACGTGTAATGAATAATTCATTACACATAAAACTTTTCCTGCTAATTTAAAATAATAAGCCCTTGATTATGTACTTGCTCAAAGCACTTTTAATATTCAACTTAGCAATCAGCTTAACCAAACGAATATATGTAATAGCTCTGAAGATTTTTCTAGACTTTTTATATTTTACATACATTTTACATTTTATTCTGACCAATTTACATCACATATAAAAGTATTTATGTTTTTCAAATCCATTGTATTCAGGTATCAGCTGAAGAGACCGTGGGGGAGAACGAAGCTAGTAAAAGGTACAACATCTCATTTGTGCCAGTTGACGTAGGAGACCACAGTATTGAGGTATGTTAATTAACACACTGATAAATTCAATTTATATTACTAATAGACTTATTTATGCTTAAAAATATAATAATAATTATAATATATAGCTGTATAAAAATTCTTTAAAAGTAAGTCATTTGAATTATCTGTCTTATCTTACATGATTTTACATAATTATAATATATTCAAAGAAATGTAAACTTCATCGTCGGGGAAGCATTATCAAAAGTGGAAGTCATTTGGTGCTGCAATCGTTAAATCCCCGAGCCACTTGTGGCGATTAAAGCATGTTCCAGCTGCAATGGGAGACGTTCACGTCCAGCAGCGGACCTTTATAGAATGATGAAGAAAGAAAGAAGAACAAGACCTATACAACTACCCCCATAATCACTTGAATATAACTACCATTATCATCTAAATATACATAACTACCATTAATACCCTGCAACCATCGCTACTCCTAGTTATGTCTCCTTTGTCTGTTTGTTGATCAGAAGGAGGCTCCTAGCCTACAGTATCAAAGATATGACGACTATCACAACCTAACCTCAAAACCTCAATACCTAGTTGTGCATGGTACTCAATGTGGCTTATCAAACTGTCAGAAATGAATAAATCTATGCACCTAAAAGTACCAATACCTAAGTATCTCACGCGTGTTTCCTCGCCCATATTAAGAGCACGTTCAGACTCGGCGGAAACCGTGCGGACGCAAACCGCGCGGGTCCGATCCGCGAGAATAGTGAAGTGTTCAGACAAGCGCGGTTATTGTGCGGTGCGAGGACTGCGAGGTAGGGTGACAGCCTTTCAGTTCAATCATGGAAGTTGAAGAGGCAATATGTGTGTACTTACTCCTACTCCACAAAAAAAAAAAGGAAACGGCAGTATTGGGTGCATCCAATTTTACAAGATCGGTTCACTCATGGTCAGTTTGTGTCTTTATATGCAAAGTTAAGGAATTATGATTCCGAATTTTTTAACTATTTAAGAATGTCAATAAAGTCATTTGACGAATTATTGGAAATAATCAGTGAACAAATTACATCTTCTAATACCCATATGAGGTCAAGCGTATCACCAGAAGAAAAACTCGTGATCACTTTAAGGTAAGGTATTTATTTTTATTTAATAATTATCAGAATATATATTCATGTAATATAAGAATATATATTTATATTTATGTTATATTAGAATATATATTGGGTATTTATTTTCACATAATATCAGAATATATATTTTCTACAATAGAAGACTGTGAGTCATCAGTAGTGTATGATGAAGGCGATGGAGATCCCGCTGGTACAATTGTAGAGTATCCAGTAAAATATCCTTGTGGATTTGAATATGGTTGGCTATTTAAATATGCTGTATTATGCATGTTTTGCTGGTTTGTTGTAATGCGAAATGGCAATGGTAATTTCTGTCCCTTCTCTATTACTTGAAGTAATTCAATTTTAGTAGCCAAACGCTTGTTTTCTGGAACTTTTTTTAATTCTTTGTACAAAGATAAACAAAAAAAGCTTATCATCATCTTGGTTAGAAATATTTTCTTGTAATTCTCTTTGTAATTTATCTCGTGACTGAATGCTCTCCTCTAATATGTTAGCCAATCGATCTTCTGGTGCACTTTTACTTTTTTTTCTTTTTTGGGGGGGAGGGGAGCGTATTTCACGTGCATTCACAAAATTATTTTGGTCTTTGTCACTGTCTTCATTATGCTCATTTTTCGCTTCTTCTATGTTACTAGTTGTTTCTTTATTTTCTACCGTCTTCTGAAGAAAGGAAAGCCGGTCAAAATACATGTATTTTGAACCTCTACATGCACCTGAACCAGAAGGAGCTGACTTGCCTTTTTTTGAATTCCTTGTTGTAGGCATCACGTATGTTCTTCCATTTTTTTTGCAATGTTACACCTGAATAAGAAATTTATCGTTAAGAAAAATGTTAAGGTTTTCATAATATGTGCTGGTATTTTTTTTTGTTTCAGATATCTGGCTATTGGTTGTTCCTTTGGAGAACTTCGTTACAACTTTCGTCTTGGCATATCTACAACCACAGGAATTGTCCGTGAAGTATGTAAAGCTTTGTGGAAAATACTCGCAAAAAAAGTCATGCCCGAACCGAGTGAAGATGTGTGGGAGAGAATAGCTATAGATTTTGAAAGATATGCAAATTTCCCCAATTGCATAGGCGCCATAGATGGCAAACATATAAGGGTTATAATGCCTGATGATTCTGGATCTTTATATTATAATTATAAAAACTATTTTTCTATAGTACTTTTGGCACTTTGTGACGCTAATTACTGTTTTACTTTTGTTGACATTGGATCATATGGAAAAAGTAGTGATTCTGCAATATTTAAAAATTCAATATTTTATAAAAGATTAATAGAAAAATCATTACACATACCAAAACCTAAACCAATATCTAACGCAGATCCTTTACCATTACCATACGTTATAGTTGGCGATGAAGCGTTTGGTTTATCGGAAAACTTAATGCGACCCTATGCGGGTAAAGGGTTATCATACGAAAAAAAGGATTTTTAACTATAGGTTATCTAGGGCTCGACGTAATATTGAATGCAGCTTTGGTATTTTAGCAAACAAGTGGCGTATTTTTCATAGGCCTATAAACGTTAACATAGACTTTGCCGAAGACATAATAAAGGCATGTTGCGTGTTACACAATTTTGTTAGGACAAGAGATGGTGTACGGTATAAAGACACTTTGTACACTGCGCCAATGAGTAGTCTTAATAAATTACATGCAGGAAGAGGTACACCTTCATCTTTGAACATTAGAGATAGATATGCTAATTACTTTGTGAATGAGGGTCGTGTAGAATGGCAAGATACTAAAATATAAACTTATAAATATGTATATTACATTGGTAGGTATCTATATTATGTAAACACAATCACAAACAATGTAAAGTAACTACTAGGAGAAATGTTTAAATAAAGTACCTACTAACCAAAAAGTTTTTTCTTTTCCAATGAATCCTCGTTTATACCAAAAATCTCCACCAGGTCCTGCCAAGCCTTATTTTTGGCAATTTTATTAGAATAATCTTCACACTGGATGTCCCATATTGCTGGTCTTTTTTCAACTTCGTCAATGAATAGTTCGGTGTCAAAGCGCTCCATTGTCATACGTGCGATACGCGCGGATTCCACGGAGCAACTGAACACGCCCAGGGATTGTCATAGAATTACGTCCGCGCGGCGAACGCGCGAATTCATTTTCTTGCGGTCGAGTTGCGGCTACCGCGCGGTTGCATGGTCCGCGCGGTGTAGTATGAACGTTCTAGTACTATGCCATTATAATAAGATCCGCGCGGTTGACCCGCGCGGTTTGCGTCCGCGCGATATCCGCCGTGTCTGAACTAAGGGTAAGTGTCCCTCGACATAGTTCCTCGGCTTTCAGAGGTAGTTACAAATATACAGTCACCCACTACTGGAATAATATACCTCCACCACTACGACATTAAGACATAAGGGAATTTCACTTAAACACTTAAAAAAACTTTTGCTAAACGAACAGAAGGGAAGTATAAATAATTGATCATGCTTTATTTAAGAATGACCTATTTTTCATTTAGTATTTCTAATTATAAATTTAGCATATATATTTAATGATTACTAAATATTTATTACCCTATATTTCTGTCATTTTAATATATATATAATTAACTTTTTAGTAAAACGTTGGGACGTTGCATACTACCGTCTACGGCACATCTCACATGCGGTAAAGAATACAGATTTAAGAAATAAAATGAAGTTGACCGTCAGAACTTGTTCAGGGCCGTCTGAAAATCAGCGCTGCAAGCTCGCGGCTTATGCTGAGACGATCCCTTCCACCACTTCATCATAACACATTGCATACACATATAATGGACACATTTCTTTTATTTATTCATATTTCCTTTTTTTTTTGTTTGTTTATTATTAAGTCACTTGTTTTATTTTTAATTGTAATTTGCCATGTGTAAGTGTAGTTTTGTAGATTTAAGTGTTGGAATAAATGTCTTTATGTCTTTATAACCAAACCTGAAAGTTTGTATATAAAAATGTTGGTTGATTTAATGTCTCAGTCGTCAAAGTATTAAAATAGATGAATGTAAATTTTTATCTATATCCTCAGGTGCGAGCAGGTGCGATGGGCGGCCATGTTGAGGGCAGCCCGTTTCTAGTCAAAGCGTACAGCGCGTCGCGAGTGTCCGTCACCGATATTTCGCCCGGAGTCGTGGGCAGGCCGGTCTCGTTCACCATTAACGCATCCCATGCCGGTAAGTCATTACTAACCACACTTGATTATTAAGATGACGTCACTAATTAAGTAACAATTTTTAAAATGTTTTACTTTTTTCAGTTGTTTATTACTTTTAAGAATACTGTTTTTATAACTTTTTAAAAATTAATTTGGAATATTCAGTGCCATCAAAAACATAACTTGTAAAAAACAAAGGCTCGCAACTTAGTTTATCTACCGTAAAAAGTTGTGAGATTCATGTAATACCAAGTTGATTCATTTATTCACTCCCTACTTAAGGTTTCTTCTGTTTTAAGTTATTAGGTAATTAGCTAACCTGACAACATCTTACAGAGATTGCTTTTAGGTGACACTGGTTATGGCTGCCAAACATATCTATTGACACCAGTCGTACAACCAGAATCGGATGCTGAACAAAATTATAATATATAGGTGTTTGGAAAAGAGCTTTCCCATGTTTGTCAAAAAACTAGCAACAAATCTGACAACAACATGCCATATAATAGAAGCCACAGCAATTTTATATAATATTTGTTATATATATGAAATTAAGAAGAATATCGAACCACCAGTGATAAGAATTGACAGAAGGAATGCCGAACAATCCGACAGACAGGGATTACTTTTTAGGAGAATGTTTATTGGACATTTTTGAAATGTATTTAAAATTTAACATAACATTAATTTTTATAAATATTGTATATTATTGTAATTTAGGTAATTTTTTATGTAAATAAAACAATTTTCACATAGACATTTTTAATAATTTAATTTATTAATTTTTTTTTCCAATATTGCTATTTCTAACTTAAGTTTTTGATTTCAAAATTTTTTTTTCTATTTGAAATGCAGCTTGCTGTGACTCTTTTTTCCAATATTATTTCTTCTTTTTTGATCAAAATATTTTCCCTTTCGACTCTCCATTTATGTAACTCTGAATCCTGCTCTATATTCTCCCTGCACACTTTACACGCACTTGGACTTCACTGGATAGCTTACCATTGTTATCTGAAATTAAATAAGTACAAACAAAGTTGAGAGGTGTTTTGTTTTGTAGTGGTAGTAGCTAGTAGTAATAATGGACTTACTAAGTGGGCATAATTATTAATACATTATAATAAATTCTAATATTATACAAGTAAGTATGCCTGTCATCATTACACAGGTCAACTGCTGAATGTTATCTCGACAGAACTTGACACAAATAGCTTGCAACCAAGAGATGGACGTAGGACCCTTTTTATCCTTGAAAATCAGTTTCCTTGGGATTTTAAAAAACTTAAACTGCTAGTATCATAATTTATGTAAACTTGTAAGTAGATAGTGTATGAAATGGAAACCTTAAAACTCCCTTGAACATTGAATTTATGTTTGCCTACTTCATGCCCCCCCGTACATAAAAATATTACTTGTAACTGTACCTGTTAATGTTTTTAAGGGAAAAGTCCTTTTTACCTCTTGCTTAATTTTAAACTTTCTGATTTTGACATGGCTTCACTATCTGTAAAAGAAGGAAAGGTTAATACCCAAAAACACAGCAGCATGTTCACAAAACAAGATAAATGAATGAAAACAAGATGAATGTCCAGATATAATTTATCTTCTTCTGCATATTTAGCACTGCATATAAGTAACATTTTGATAATACCACAAATAACCATATTACCATGTTCGTTTTCTTTGTATATTTTCTCTGGAGTATGTATTTCCACGGAACTCAGGTTTAATGCAAACAGAAAAAATAATGTTGCTTAAATTTCAAAAAAGGTCATTTCTAGTTTATATCTATAACTGCTGTGTATAGTAAGTAAAATGCAAGCTTTGTTGCGAGTGGTAATGTAAACAACAAAGAATAAAGCTTCATCCTTACTAATGCTTAATATGTGATAAATCTCTTACCTAGGGTTTTCTCTTCTGTGTTTGAGTCAATAACTCCAGGTACAGTCAGATTTATGTATGGGCAAATACTATCTAAGATGCTTTCTGCAGTGCGCGCTTCACCAACTCCACCTCCATTCTGTATCAAACTCCCAGCTTCCATTGACAACTCCTTCTTACTTTTTATGTTTTCCCAGCATCTCTTTAGCTGTAGGTAATGCCGTTCTCTTGACCACAAAAGGTACTTGCATTGTAGGCATTTTCAATTTCGTCCTATGATCGTCATCTTGAGCTCAATGTTTCTGGCATTTGTTTGTTTGTTTTCAATAATAAGACGTTCACTCACCAAACTTATGAGTAGTTCTTTTTCGGCTAATGTATGAATGAATTATCAAGAAACTCGCACAAAATAAACATTACTGAGGAAAAGCCTTTGAGTTACCATTTAGCACTGTTAGCCGGAGATGTTATTTGCCTATTATTACAAGAATTACAATTGGTATTCAAGCTAAAATTTTACTTAAAACAGTGTTACTCAAACCAGTTTGCAAAAATCAACATAATGAATTGAGGTTATGTACTGATTGACATTTGACGTTTGAATAACAAATTGAAGCTAGCCCCGAAGTCGACCAATCAAAACGTCGAATCCTTCCCTATGCATTCACTGAGTGAAGAAATATTTTTATTTTCGTATTTCTATTACGTATTTATTTTTATTTATGTATTTCTTCACTCAGTGAATCTCAGTGACAAGTCTATGGACATCTCCAACTCCAACACTGTGAGAAATCGGACACTTCGCAGTGAGAACCAATACACTTAAATAAATGTGGTTCTTGAATACGGGCGTAAGCGATTTGGTATTACATGGATCTCACAACTTTTTACGGTAGATGAACTCAGGTTGCGAGACTTGGTTTTTTTCTACAAGTTATGTTTTTGATGGCATCTCATTTCTTTTTGTGGATAGTCCTAGTTTTTTCCTTTCCGGTACCTTCTACCTCTTGAATACCACCAACGTACCTATTATTCCATTACATATTCGGTTACCTGATTCATTCACTGCTAATGTAATTATGGGATTACAAAGTTATTTATGCAGTTAGTGAATCTAGAAAACTGGACCTAAATTGCAAATATATTAGTTTTTCATTAATTTATACACTAAACACTAATTGTATTCTAAATTTGAAACTCTATGTTTGTTAGAAGTTCCTTAGAGTTTTGATGATTGGTCAGTCAGTGACTGAGTATAATAATATAATTCTTAAACTACTGGTTCAAATTGAATGAAATTTGAAATATAACGTGTTTATATAATTCCTGCTTGGTTACTGAATTCAGGTTTATAAGTTTATCCACAACGAAGTTATAGGGGGTCAAAAATGGCCTGAACTGCTTCGAGAAAAGTATGTAACGTCCGTGCCGCTTTTTTGCTCGACTTGGCTCAGGGGCACTGCCGTGCCCCCAGATAAAGTGCGATAGTGCTACGTTAGAAAAATAGTTTAATCACAATGTATATATTGTCAACAGGTGCTGGTAACTTGGAAATAATTGTGGCCGTAAACGGCCGTAATGTTCCAAATTACGTACAGAGCGAAGGGAATGCGCGGTTTAAGGTACTTCATTAAAGTCTTAATTACGTTTCTGCTTTTTATATTGTTCAATTTTTAAGCCTTTACGATTTTTGTTATAAAAAAAAGGCTTAAGTATACACATGGCACTCGATTTTATTAGAATAATAATATACATAGTACTCAGATATTGGCAGCATCAGCGTCAACAAACGATATATTTTGTTCAAGCGACAATCATGAGTTTGTCATTGACAGTACTAACCTAAACAATGTATATTTAATTTCATTAATTTTAATGTATTTGTAACACCTATTACTTATAACTTTTTGCTTACTTGAGATTTAAAATAAGTTTGTATCGTGTTGTCTACTTCTAGTTCATGGTTCACTAGCTTATCGAATAGGGATGTCGATTTTTTCCGAAAAAGATCGATTTTTAAATCGAATCGAAATCTGATGAATAGATTCACAAAAAAATCGAGGTCTAAAAGATCAATTTCTCAACAATCTATAATTTTCGATTTACTGTCAGATTTTTACAAAGTACAGATTACAAACATAACTTATTTTTTACTTCTTTAGTCCATTAAGAAAAGGCGAAAGAAAATGAGCACACATCGGTTTTGCAAGTTTTTAAATAGCAAAACTGCCGTTCTTTACGAGTTTGAGTACATTCTACTACACAACTAATTAATTGTATATAATTTTATAGTTCTTATGAAAACAGAAAAAGATTCGATCTCGATTTTCTAGGGTGAAATATTATAAGAGCTTATGGTTCGTGACAATAAAAACTGCCACTTACCACCAACAAAATTGACACTTTAATTACCGAACACCAATTAAAACTTTAATCACACTAATAGTTAATCACACTTAACACTTGAGTTCATCTTATTTCGCTCCGATTGCTTCGCTCGTATTGCCAATTCAATACTGCCACTCCGCTCGCGGCCCTCAATGGTTTTAAATAGGCCTTTTCCACCGAAACATCCAGAATATTCCAGCAAATACCGGCCCCGACTGACCAGGCGCAGAAAGTTCGGGTGTGGGGCTTTCTAGAAAGCTTAGTTCCTTTATTCGATAATAGGTGGCGCTAGTGCCATCAAGTGTGGCGCTTAACAGTACTATATATAAAAAATCGATCTTTTTGGCACAAGAAATCGATTCTTCGATTAATCGATCTCAGATCGACATGCCTATTATCGAATAATTAAGTGCTAACAAAATAAGGTGGGCTATTGTATATAATAATGTAAGACGTGCGTGTCGACAGGTGAACTTCAAGCCGGTGGAGGCGGCGGTGCACACGCTGTCGGTGCGGTTCAACGGACGCGCGGTGCCGGGCTCGCCGTTCTCGTGCGCGGTGTCGGCGCCGCTCGACGCGCCCGACGCGCGCGCCTCCGGCCCCGGCCTCGCATCTGCGCCGCGTGCCCAGCCCGCCGACATACACCTCACCGGGTTCCTCTGTAAGTTTGCGATACCAACCACTGTATGAGATCTCGTACACGTATATATAAGGGCTGTAAGCCGAAGTACGGAAACCAGCACAACCTAGAAGTTAGTCCTCAGTCATACAGTTAGTCATCGCGAGGGATCTTGTCGAAAAAGTCGACATAAACAATAAATTGCTAGGGTTATCAGAACGAAGGTAATAAGAAAATAAAAAACGACGGGTTGCACTCCGGGAGTGCCGGCAGAGGTGAAAACTTGAATATTAACGTGATACGTATAATTTTGCACGAATTGCTTTAATTATCAGTATAAAAGTACTATCATTTATGTGGTAGAATACAATATTTATTTATCGTATCTATCGTACACAAACATGACAATTTATATTACATTAAAAAGTATCTCTCAGAAAATGCGGCGTACTGTCTACTCTCCATCCGTCTTACGAATTTTCGATCAGGGCACGTGTCCTGACTGACGCGAGTTTAACATTTTTTACCCTTTACCAAAAAAGTGTACAGCGCCGCTAAAGAAGTTTTCAATTCAAAAACTAATTTTATTTTATTTCACGGTTAAAAAAATTGCTACGTATGTGGATAATGAAACCTGAATTTCTTATCTTTAAATGAGGACGACCCACAGGTTTTTACGGCACATGTAGTATGGACCATTTTAATTTATTTGCGTAACAGGGCAACCCTAGCAGACAGTTCACGAGAGACTAACGGCCTCCCGTCCGCCCCCGTCTCACCTTGCACTGTTTTATACGTGGTAGAGCCATGCTGCAGCTATATTATGGTTGTAGCCAAATAGCGCGACTCGACCGGGAAAGGACCACGCCCTCACAGAATGCCGACGTAAAATATCAGCTTAATACTACTCTGTTTCGTATGGTCCGGATACCTTTTTTTACTGGAAACGAGGTATTCCATCTTAGTCCTCGGGGGCGACAACGCATCTGCGATTTGATTCTTAATCGAGAATAAATGTAGGTGTATATGGGCCACCGCATCCACTTACCATCAGGTCGACTGTATGCTCGTTTGTCACCCTTATTCTATAAAAAAAAAACGAACTATTACCTCGTCTAGAGACGCCTTTGATGACCGACTGTTGTAGTTAGACTATGACCTAGGTGTTGCCGGCTAATTCTAGCTGCAGCCGATTGCGGTTAATTAAAGTTAAGCGCGCCATTTATAATTTATAAATAAGGTAAATGTCTACGGTTTTAAGGTGACCCATGAGCTACCGCAACCGCACCTTAATCTACTGTCGCTGATATTACTTGATACGTATTTCCGTATTCTTAGAAAATAATCAATCAGTATACCTAAGTTTATCCACCTACTGCTGACTGCACCCAGTTCTAGTAGGTTTGCATTATTTTGTATGTGTGTGTATTTGTAACTTAAGTTTCGGCACATTTTTATCAAACGCGTGCAAATTCATGCAAAATCAAGCAAGTGGTTTGTTTTATTTATCTTTGCATTTACCGATCATATAATTTAATATTAATTATAAGTAATCTACACATTCTATCTATAATCATATCCTATGTATACTATTAGACGTGCACTACAGTACTAATTGTGCACTAAGTTACGGTCCATTCTAAGGCCCGGTTTCCATTTTGAGAAGTGACAAGTGCGAGTGGCATGTGACAAGTGGCAAGTAAGAAGTGACAAGTGCGTATTTTATTCCCACTTATCACCTGTTATATATATAATTTATATATAATTTAACATTAATTATAAGTAATCTACACATTCTATCTATAATCATATCCTATGTATACTATTAGACGTGCACTACAGTACTAATTGTGCACTAAGTTACGGTCCATTCTAAGGCCCGGTTTCCATTTTGAGAAGTGACAAGTGCGAGTGGCAAGTGACAAGTGGCAAGTAAGAAGTGACAAGTGCGTATTTTATTCCCACTTATCACCTGTCACTGTTCACACGCACTAAGCACTTGCCATTTATCAGTTGCACTTGCCACTTGCACTTGTCACTTGATGTTGTCAAATGATAATGATGAATGAGATGTGTAAATGTAATCCGGGCCTAAGTAACTTTTTAGTCCACTGCAAGGGGTCGAGAAGACTAGTTCTCTGTTTTGCAAACCGCGATCAGTCTAATCAATCTAGCACTTATTTTGTTTAATGTAATTAAGAAAACGGTATCATTATTTATTGCGCACTTTGTTAAGACCCATATTTGTCGCCTGTGACACAGTTTTTGTTCTGTATTACCGGTCTAATACCCATAAAATTCTTTCTCTATATTTTCTTTTACGTCGTAGAGCCATGTTGTACGAATAAGTTGGCTCAACTGGTGAAGGACCGCAGAATACCGCACTAAACATCGTGTGAAATAGCAGCTTAATGCTGCTGTGTGTCTGTGGTGAGTGTAGAGAACATGAAACCCTTTACTGAAAACTAGGTATTCTATCTAATTTCTCACAGGTGCCAACGCATCTGTATTTTGATTCTTAATCGAGAATGATTTGGGTGCCAATGGAGCATTGCATCTAATTAACATCAGTTGGACAGTGTGTTGATTTGTCACCTTATAAAAATTTATAATAGAAATATATTCTTGGTCAATATCTATAATAGGATAACAATGCTAGCTAAACCCGGCCACACATTGTGACCGTAAAGTGTTGCTTTTACGTCCAAAGTAATTTATGGTCTTACCACTGTTTCGAAAATAACCTTCTTCCATGGAAAGAGCAAGCAAGAAACTCAGTAGTGCTCTCACTCAACTCATTTAAATATTAATATACAGATGTTGTACAAATAATTACAAAACATTCAGAAACACATTTCCAGGGGTTACTATCAGTCATGTATTCTTTAAATATATTATAATAACCACTTCATGTTCAAAATATGTATATTTTCTTTATTTTTAAAAATAAATGTTTCCCTGGCAATAATAGCTAAAATAAATTATGTTTCTCGAACAATAGTTATTATTCTATACCAATATATCCCGTGATATAATTTATATATGTACAAGGTTTATTAGACTGCGGAAGGTGGTACATAGTTAGTTTTACCTCAGTGGTTGTTGCGTTAATTATTTTTTTGAATTAATATGTCAAAATATTGACAGCTTCTGTGATTTGTTAATGCAAGAATCGTTAGTCAATTGCAGTCATCAGGAATGTGAGAAAATTCACGTAATTGTCGCATAATATATGCAAAGTTTCGTTTGTCAATTAGTGTTATCATTAATAATACACAATCAGTACATTATTCTAAGTTTGTTTACAAATTTAAGCCATTGTTTATGTTTTCATTGTTATTGTTAAAAAACGATTAATTGATTCACAATAGTTTTATTTCATTACCTAATCGGACGCGTTACGCCACGATCATGTTTTTTAAACTTTCATAAAAATATTTAGTTTTGTAAAAATCTTTATGCTAAAATTTACTGTGTAAAATAGAATAATGAAAAAAATATGTTCCTTAGAACGCTATTTAAAAGAAATCACCAGTAAGTTGGGAACCGTATTTTATGTCAAAACTTCTTGTAACTTAAAACTTAATAAAATAACTTACCCGACAATTTTTGTTAAAAACTTCATTATTTATTTAAAGTTTATGAACTTGATAACGATTTGCTACTCTTTTATCTCCTTCCAAAGTTCAATAATGTTAATCATTGTTATGTTATCCGAAGCACAAAATGTAAAGAACATGTTTTTTTACTTTGTTTTTCATTTCAATTGTGATAATGTACATATATCGTAGAGACCACCTTTCCCGTACATCGACTTTTAAATGTTACGAGTGAAAATCCATTAAAAAATATTGTTCCATTACAGCAGGCGAGCCAACCGTATTTGTAACGGGTCCGGGCGGCAGTACAGTTCGGACTCGTGTCACGGCGCTCGGCGACGGACGATATACGGCGACGTACACGCCGGAAGTGGTCGGTCGACACAGCGTTCAAGTGACGTGCGCGGGTCGACACGTGCCTGGCTCACCTTTCACCTGCAACGTGTACGACGTGCGCCGCGTGCGTGTCACTGGCCTGGGGCCTGGAGGTACCTAACAAATAACATTTTAGCAAAGTAATATGAAAAATATATAATTCCTGTAATATTATTAAATTTATAAAATGATTTTAGACGTAACAAATTATATTTTTCAACTTTTTGGAATCAACCGTAAGGTGATGAGATTTTTTTGAGAAAATATTGAGAAGCAATGATCTTATAATACTTCGCCAGTTGCTTTATAAAGGGATAGTTATATTACACTCGGCTCTTGCACTTATTTCTGATCTTATCTGCAATCTGTTTTTTTTTTAATTTGTGCTTTTCTTAACCAATATTAATTTTATGACTCCTATAAAGGGTCTAACCTAATGTCATTCAAGCATTATATTAACAATGTTTTATATGTATTTTTTTTTTAGAATTAGAAGGCACATTAGAAGGTCTTAATCTGGAAGAGGGAGCGGAAGAAGAGCGTGGTGTCGAAGTGGGCAAGGCGGTGACATTCAGTGTGGACGCTGCTGGCGCGGGAGAAGGCACACTAGAACTCGTCGTCTCTACGCCCTCCACCACTGTTAAAGCAGAGGTACGATCATAACTTTTTGGTTAAAAATACGTTTATGCATAACAAACTTTTAGTGTTACATTTGAAACAGTTCTTTTTTAATCATATGTAAATTAGTCATTACATCCTTTACAAGTCCAGTGGGAACATAGGCCATCGGATTAATAACGGATTACTAAACTAAAGTGGTAATGGGCCGACCATATAGCTCGAAAATCCGACAATCGATGGGGAAAAAAGGTTCTCGAATCGCAGCCTCGTACTGGTAGGCGAAGTATAGGGCGACACCCCACTAAATGGAGTAACGACCTCGTAAAACATGCAGGAAGTCACTGGATGCGGGTGGCTCAGGACCGTGCTTTCTGGTATTCCTTTAGGGCCTATGTTCAGAGTTTGTAAGGGCTGTAATGAGAATATGATCATATACTGTTGTCAGAATATCTACTATCCCACATCATCCTGTAGGTTGATCCTCCCGATACCATCCACACCATCTGGATGCTTGGCGGTCCACCACTGTACGATTCACTAGGAGTTTTCTTCCGCGTACGACCTCTCGGAATAGTTTACCACCGGCGATTTTTCCGAATTGATACGACATGGGGAGCTTCAAGAAAAGAGCTTACTCTTTTCTAAAGGGCCGGCAACGCACCTGCATTTCCTCTGGTGTTACGGATGTTCATGGGCGGCGGTAGTAATTTAACATCACGTGAACCGTATGCTGGTTTGCCCCCTCTTCTATAAAAAAAGGTGTCGTAAGAGGTGACAAAGGAAACTAAAACAAGAGATGAGTAGAAACATCTTCCTGAAAACAACTGAAAATTACAAAAATTGCGATTGGCAACCCGCCAGTCAAGTGTGGCAACTAAGGCAAAATTCTATTATGATGCCAATATATGGGAGAGGCATATCTTCAGCTGTGGACTTGATCAGGGCAACATGAAACATTTCAGTTAATAAATTTTCATTTTCGATCAAATTGTAAAGCTTGTGTTATTTATAAATTATAATGTACCTACTTTATTAAATTGCATAACTTTTATTAAGGTCGTAGCGGTAGCCCGTGGTCTCTATGACGTGACATTTGTGCCGGTGTCACGGGAACCTCACCGTGTCTCCGTCACATTTAATGAGCAACCCGTACCCGGCAGTCCCTTCGTATGTCGGGTCAACGAGCCTCTTACTTACGTACAAATAGGTACGTGTAAACCAATTTCAAGTGCAGCTTTTAACGTATATTTTAGATAGAGTATTTTTTTATTGCATTCCTTAAAACAAAATAATTCAAAGGGCGGACTTTAATGCCTTGAGGTATTATCTACCAGTCAACCCAATACAATTGACGTGAACTATTTATGAGTGCAACAATGACCAGAAGTAATAGTTATAATAAAAGTTATTATATAACTTTTACTTTTGGTCCTTCGAGCTAGATATGCAAAACTGCAAAACTGAATTTTAACTGAAGTACTTTCTAATTAGTATTTATTATAGCTTTGAAGTTTATTTAATATTTATTTTAACATTTTTTAATATTTACTATATTTATTGCTATTCTAATGAGTATTATTACTGATTTTAGGAGGAGTAGCTTCAGTAGAAATTGACGAAAATCTTACTGATGTAGAAGTAATATCTCCAACTGGTACTAGAGTGGCAGATACAAATCTTGAAGACTCTGGTTTGCTCACGTTCCCTGCTAGTCGTGTGGGAAGATATTTAGTCAGAAGTAGTAGAGGGCCAATCGCGGAGGTTGAAGCTCTTGATGCATCCGCCGTTAAAGTTTTGTCAATTGGTGATGCTGTCGCCCATCGTCCTGCATTAATAACTGGTGAGTTATTTGAATATAAAACTTTTTTCTTCTAAAATAACTTGACAATAAGGGCTAATAATCTTATGCTTACCAGATATCGCAGAATTCGCTAGTTGAAACTAACGTGAAGTTATTTGTTACACAATGTCATCATCATTGAAAAGTATAATAAAAAGTGTTTTTTATTCTAGTGTACATATATATATATATATATATATATATATATATATTGTTTTAATTCTATTTTTGCAATATCCGTAGTTTGGTTTATTAATGTCTTATCTAATTAATAAAAACGCATCTAATATTGCAAAAAGAAACATTAATAAATCTCTCCACTTTTCTAAACAAATTAAGATACTCTGTACTCTGAAATCTGTGAAATGTTTCATCTCCTTCCTAAGTGGTGCCGCCATGGCGGCGGAAATAGTCGTGGATTTTCTCATTGATGTCAGATTTATAGACGTCATTATATTCGTCTCGATAATATGACGTTAAAGGCTTTTTAATTTCAACGAGTAAATTCTGTTTGTTTAATAATAGCAGTTTAGCTTGCTTTTTGAAGTGAAAACTTCTTTAGAATCGTTGGTGATTTGAAATTCGATGAAACGAAAACGCATCACTAAAAAGAAGCAAAAATATACGTCTTTAGGATTTAGCCTGCGAGAGAATGAGATAGAATAGAGTTTGAAGTGTTTTCTTTTATATATGGAGATTATGCATATGATCTATGAGCATTAAGTATTAAGGACGAAAGTTGATTGGAACATATTTAAGTACTTGATGATGAAATTGAAAACTTCGAATATGTATAATAAGAAAAGTAATGTATGTGTATGTAGAATAAAATGTAAAATAATATTTAAACTTGGTAACAATAAATAAGTAAATCCTTCATATATCCTACTCCTGATATGATGCAATCGTCTCATTCTCTCGAAGTTTAGTTTTCTGATGCCTGCACTTGTATCGCATGTGAACTGCACGCATGTTTGATTTGTTGGTGTTTGTATGTAACGGCTTGTGTTCGGCACGGCAGTGAGCACGAGCAACGCCGGCAACGGGAGGCTGTCGGGGCGCGTGACGTGCGGCGGGCAGACGGTGCCGCACTCGGTGCGGCGGCGCGGCGGCGCGCGCCAGGAGCTGCTGTGGCACCCGGCGCGCGCCGCGCCGCACCGCGTCGCGCTGCTGTGGAGCGGCGCGCCCGTCGCGCGCGAACCGTTGCTCGTCGACGTCATGCCCGCCCACCACGGACAGGAGGTGAGTCAACTGCTGTGACACCCGGCCCGCACCGCGGCGCGCTTCTGTGGAGCGGCGCACTCGTCGCGCGCGAACCGCTGCTCGTCGACGTCATGCCCGCGCACCACGGACTGGAGGTGAGGCAACTGCTGTGGCACGCGGCGCGCGCCGCGCCGCAGCGCGTCGCACTGCTGTGGAGCGGCGCGCCCGTCGCTTGCGAGCCGCTGCTCGTGGACGTCATGCCCGCGCACCACGGACAGAAGGTGAGGCAACTGCTGTGGCACGCGGCGCCGCCGCGCCGCACCGCGTCGCGCTGCTGTGGAGCGGCGCGCTGCTGGAGCGGCGCGCCCGTCGCGCGCGAGCCGCTGCTCGTCGACGTCATGCCCGCCCACCACGGACAGGAGGTGGAGTCAACTGCTGTGCCACCCGGCCCGCACCGCGTCGCGCTGCTGTGAAGCGGGGCGCCCGTCGCGCGCGAACCGCTGCTCGTCGACGTCATGCCCGCGCACCACGGACAGGAGGTGAGTCAACTGCTGTGACACCCGGCCCGCACCGCGTCGCGCTGCTGTGAAGCGGGGCGCCCGTCGCGCGCGAGCCGCTGCTCGTCGACGTCATGCCCGCGCACCACGGACAGGAGGTGGGGGCAACTGCTGTGCCACCCGGCCCGCGCAGCAACGCATTCTGTTACTTGTTCAATTTCATGCCGACGCCACATCCTAAGAAGAACACAGTCACACTTATCGCGTTTCATGTTATCGGAAAAGCCGACATAAACAATAAATGGCTAGGGTTGTCTGACAACGCAAAACAGGAGATAGGTGACTAGCAGCACCGGCAATGAAAACGATTCTCATGTCTCTGTGAACGTGACAGTATTGCACCTACTACATTAGCTCTGCGGAAAACTCCCAAGAACTTCTCAACGTGACGCATTGGTATATTATGAAGAAGTTTCTGAAACAAAATACTGTAAAGGATTATTTCTTATTACTCGTGACTAAGTTATAACCATACGACTACACAGTACACAGATAAAAACATTACGCTAACGTTTCTAACCGCGTTGCGCGCATTTCGCTGCTTATTCAATTTGAGTGATGCTGGTGCACCACAGACAGATGTTAAGTAGCTAGCAGTACGGCCCATGGAAACTAGGCACATTTACGTTTTTGTGAACGTAACAGCGTTTAACCCCCACCCGCCCCCAACCCGCGCCGCTTCGCATCGTGTTTCGTTGTTGTGAAGCGGCGAGTGAAATATTGCTGATAACAAATATGCTGGCCTGCACCACCATCAAAATTTGGCTAGCCAATGGAAGCGATTCTCGTGTGACTCGGCGAAACTATTCTAGCACCTGGTTTGCGCCACACCATTGCTGCTGGATGTAATGCTGTCACTTTATTACCATAAATGCCCAATCGTAACAATGAAAACGACAATCATCTTTTTTCAACGTCGCGCACAATAGTACCGTTTACTTTTGTATATATTTACTTAAGCAGCGCGTCCGTTATTCATAAAGTGCTGTTTGAGGTGATGCCGATTTACGAAGGGCAAGAGCGAAACCAAGGGAGATAAATAGTTACGATGTACGTATGTTCAAATAACGAACCAACGTCCTGAGTAGTAGAGTACGTCACGTCTATTAAAGCGGGTACAGATTTGCGGAATGTAGCATGCAATGTAACAGAATTCCCATAGTGTGGACGGCTTGTGCGCACGAACCGTGTTCACTTCGCGCACGAACAGGGCATTTCAACTCGTGAGCGCTGCGATCCGCCATTTGTCGGTTTTTCGCCGAACACAAAGGGGCGCGCAGCGCATTGTGCACGGAGCGCCAGTGTGGACGGGTTGTGTGTGTTTGTACTGGAACGTGCGCGAACTATGGAAGAAAACACAGCTATGGCAGAGGCTACAGTTGAATCATGGAGTGAAAAATAATGCAGTTAATTGAGTTGTAACAGAACAAGATAAATTTTGTAAAATCCACAAAATGAATCAGCCAGTAACTGGTCATCACTAAGCATTCTCTTCGCGTGTTCTCGACAGACTGAGCTATGTTTGCCGCGCGCATGCCAGAAACAGAGGCGAGTATGTGCATGTTCGGTTCGTGCTCGCCTTACACTTATGAAATGCTCCTTTCATGTTCCTTTCACATTGCATGCTACATTTCGTAAATCTGTACCCGCCTTTACGCGTGAATCGCGGCGCAATTTTGTATTATGAACAGACAGATATCCACTTGTTGACTCCTTGCACCTGGTTTCTTTTGTAAGGCGCAAATACTCGCACTAAAATCTTACGTTCGGTATTATTACTCTCATTTTCTTACGTTTGTGTGTACACAAAAGAGAAAGTCTTCGAAAGTGTGCGAGCGGGGGACAAGGTTAGTACTGGCGCAGATTATTGGCTGGCCTAGTGAATAATTGTACCTGAGGCTCCTAATTAGAAACCAATTATAATGAAATTGGAACCTTCTATACAAATGTAACTTGAGGTTTCTACTTCTGTTTAGGAGCTCGTCTTTTTAGGTACCACCTGTTTGTGCCGCAAACCAGTGCAATGTGCACTGTTGTGCTCCAATTGCCAACCAGCATAATGTCAGACTGTGAGGCATTCCATCTTAGTCCACGGAGATGACAATGCAACTGTAATCTTCAGAGCCACGCATAGCTAACTCTATTATGGTTGTGGCACAAATGGGTTGAATCGACCGGGGAACGATCACGGTCTCACAGAACACCGGCGTGAAATAGCAGCATATGGCTGCTATGTTTCGTTTGGTGAATAAGACTGGAGACTTTTTACTGAAAATAAGGCATTCCATCTTAGTCCTCAGGGGTGACAATGTGTCTGCATTTTGACTCTTAATCGAGGATAGATGTCTGTGAGCCACGGCATCCGCTTACCATTCGTTTGTTATCTCTATTCTATAAAAAACGTGTCTATGGGCTGCTGCAACCTCTTGACATCAGGTGGACTTTAAAATAGTTTTGCATTTGCAGGTAGCGGCGTTGGGGCTAGGGTTGTACCAAGCGCAGACGGGCAAGGTGTCGTCGTTCAGCATCGACACGCTGGGGCGCGCGGCGCGCGAGTTTGACGTGGTGGTGTCGGGGCCGGGCGCGCGCGCGCTGCCCGTGCGCTGCTACCAGACCAAGTCCGGCCTGCTGCAGGCTGAGTTCACCGTCAACGAGGTCGGGCAGAGTACTATAGGTAACTCATAATTAAACCTTTAGATAAGGCCCTGTTTACATTTTGAGAAGTGACAAGTGCGAGTGGCAAGTACAACTGACAAATGACAAGTGTTTAGTGTGAATAGAATACGCGCACTTGTCACTTCTCAAAATGTAAACTGGGCCTAAAGAGTGCGAAGACAGAACATGATGTTTTGTAGTAACTAGATCTTTCATCACCAGCTATAGGTTTAGCCATTAGTTCACCAGCATGTACGCATCACATTATAATAACTGATAATACTTCGATTCCGAATTATTGTGTATGTTTGTAAACCTATATGAGTATTATTTATGGTAACCTGCGAAACAATCCAAAATTAAAATCATATTACTTATCCAAAAATAGAAGCAATAGTCGAAATGAAAACTTGGTAGCCCGAACGGCATCGTATATCTCAAATATCAGGCGCTGATCTCTATAGCCTGTATTTTATTGACTTTATTTATTTTACTTCCAGAGGTGTTACATCTATCAAAACCTGTCACCGGCAGCCCATTCACTTGTGAATCGTTCGACCCGAACAAAGTTATTGTGTCGGGTCTTCCCACTGGAAATATTATCGCGCAAACGCCAATCAACTTTACAGGTTAGATATTTAATTTGAATTTTCTGTCTCTACTATAATTTTTTTTATAGGAGGTGACAAGCGAGCACACAGTCCACTTGATGGTAAGTGGTTGCTGTAGTCCATAGACATCTACATCTATCCTCGTTTACGAATCAAAATGAAGACGCGTTGTCAGCCTTGAGGACTAAGATGGAATGCCTCTTTTCCAGTAAAAAGTGTCTCCGGTTCTCTACACTCACCATACGAAACACAGCAGCATTAAGCTACTATTTGACGCTGGTATTCTGTGAGAGCGTGGTCCTTCCCCGGTCGAGCCGACCCATTCGTGCTACAACTATACAATTAATATAGCTGCAGCAGGGCTCTATCACGTAATGAATAAATGTTTGTTGCTTTATTTAAATTTATTAAAATAAGTATTAGTGTACATATTTTAAATATCCGACGAGAGCTTAATGGCTTAGCTAACAGATCATTTTATTATTTTAATTCTTCTCTAATCTATAGTATAATTTTTCTCAGTGGACACAAAGGACGCGGGCGTGGGCGAACTAGAAGTGGTGTGCGAAGCGATGGGTGAACGGCGAGTGCGTATGCCCGTGGACATTCGCGAAGACGGACACACGTACCGTGTACGACTGAGGCCTTCTGTGCCTGCGCACTATCGCATCTATATCACGTACGGAGGTAAGCCTTGCTATACCTGTACAATTAACATATTGGCTGCGTTTGGCAGAAAAAAGCGCTAGGAAGCGCTTGTAAGCAAAATGGCGAACTAAACAATTTTCGGCCAGGACACGTTTGCTAACTCCAGTAGCGCTGACACAATCCGCCATTTGCTTATTTACTTTGTTTGTTTTGAAGTAGAGTTTATAAGTTGTTTTGTGCAATATTAGTTTCAAGTAATATAATGACATGAATAAACATATACATGTTATTAAAAATTGATGATTGGTAAGTTTTTAATATCAATACTTTACAAACATATATTTAAATTAGGTTAGGTTCCCTGGTTATAGCTAACTTCGTGTCCTAGAAGAAAACAGCTACTTACGATTTGACAGCGCTTACCGCTTACGATCGCTATTTTCCTTACAAGCGCTTCCTAGCGCTTTTTTCTGCCAAACGCATTCATTAAGTTCTGATTCTTTAGATTTAAGTAAGTGGGTAAGGGGGCTTCTTTACTGCTTTAGTCTTTTACCTTGAATCTGTCTTGGGAGTATTATGTTAGAAAGCACTAAGACATTCACTTTTCGTAACGCTTTAAATGCTATAGAAATTCAGTTTGTGACTGTGAAGCATTCCATCCTATTCTCCAGGGTAGCCTTTTTTGTTTGATGTTACTTGTTGTTGTTTGTTGAGTAGATAGATAGTAGTTGTTGTTTGTTGAATGATAGGCTGCAGGAGTCTTACTATCTTTATGTTGTCTTATGTTATGTTGTTTGACAGTGTAATTTTTTGGCAAAACAATACGATAAATCTATCCTCACATTAAGATATTTTCCTTTATCCTGTAGACGTTTTACATACGTAAATTGCACAAATTGCCTGTAAAAATCCAAAAAAATATCTAGATTTGTAGAAATTATTAGTATTCAGACTGTTAAAATACGTTAACCATATGTGTAATAAATACCAATAGTGAGTGAACTCCGTTGTTATACTGCGAAATACCTACGAGGCTGACTCGGCCTCTAGTCGCTAAAAATATGGAAGGGTTGACAAAGAACCTTAGTAAATACTCGTAATAGCATAACATATTTTATTTATATTTCTCGTAATAATTTATTTTTAGGGTTCCGTAGTCAACTAGGAACCCTTATAGTTTCGCCATGTCTGTCTGTCCGTCTGTCCGTCCTCGCTTAATCTCTGTGACCGTTAGCACTAGAAAGCTTAAATTTGGTACCAATATGTGTATAAATCATGCCGACAAAGTGGTAAAATAAAAATTGGAAAAAAATGTTTTATTAGGGTAGCCCCCCTATATGTAAAGTGAGAAGTGATTTTTTTTTTAAATTTCAACCCTAACGTGTGATATATTGTTGGAAAGGTATTTAAAATGAATAGGGGTTTACTAAAATCATTTTTTGATAATGTCAATAATTTTGGAAATAATCGCTCCAAAAGTAAAAAACAAGTGTGTCCCCCTCCCCCCCTCTAACTATTGAACCATAAGCTTAGAAAATATGAAAAAAATCTGAAAAGTAGAACTTTATAAGAACTTTCTAGGAAAATCATTTTGAACTTGGATGGAAACAACAGTACCCACTACCGGGAGCAGTTGCAGGAGCGCGAAGCGCTGCTGGAGCGCGAACATAATGGATACCCACCTTTAAACTCATAAGTGGGAACACTTATTGTGACGGACGGGAAACTACGGAACCCTACACTGAGCGTGGCCCGACACGCTCTTGGCCGGTTATTTTTCTATACAAAGATACAAACTTATTAGTACTTTACAAAACTAATTGCGTCCCGCAGCTTCACCTGATTCGTCGTGCTTGTAAAAGTAGGTACTGATACCTACATAAAAAGGTACCTACCTAATTAGCAGTATATCAGGTATTCCGCTTAAAATATTGGATAGGGGATTGAACAGAATAAATAAAACGTGTTAAAATTATACGTTGGTTCTGTTTATTCAACGCACGCAGCCTCGTTGCAGATGTGCAACCGACAAATATTTACGGGATTTACTATTGGTTTTTTTTTCAATTTTCTTTCGGTTGAATTTAACGATATAATGAATTCTCATCCTTACAAATAATTCAATTAAAAAGCGTGATGAAAAGTAATCACATGGTTCTAAGAATTTAATTTTACTTAATTTTACTTTTTAAACAAATAAAACTATAAAAAAATATTGAGTAATATCATGTTCAACTGATTTCGTGTACGTAACACTCGTAAACGGGCGTACGCGAGGCTGGTAAGGGGGAGGGGATTCCGCTGTCCTTAATACCGCGCCCCATCGTTGCTCCGTCTAGTCGCCAATTTGACCCACTATAAGTATTTATTACATTTATGCTAACACTTAGTACGCGCAGTAATCAACTCGTAGCTCACAAAGTGACAACTGCCTAAAAGACTGCGTTATCGAGTCGATAAGCTGGTGGCTCTGTGGTCTTTTAACTACCCTGCCGATATGAGTCAAAACTAGATCACCATGAAGTTTTAGTCATTGCGAGTATGACATATACCGGTATTACTCCATGAGGCGGGTATGCGTAAAATGCATAGTCCATATCTTTGTGTAGTCAATATGTAATAATTGTGTGTATGTGATGGTTCCCAGGCGCCCCAGTGATGGGCAGCCCGGTATCCCTGGGCGTGCTGAGCGGGCGCAGCAGCACGGCGGCGCGCTGTGCCGGCACCGGGCTAGCGCACGCGCACGTCGGCAAGGAGGCTGCCTTCACCATACAGTGCGCTGATGATGCCACGCCCACTGTACAGGTACGTACATACCTAGAGGTTTTTCTGTTTGTCTGTGTTTTATGTTATATGTTCAATTGTCAATTACTAACTTTAGTTATAAGCTCTAAAAATTGTTACTAACCTATATGGATAATGATGTCCGAAATAAACGTTTATTATTATTATTATTATACGTCCCACCATTCATCATCCTATTGGGTCACCAAGAGGTCCCATTGATCTAAATTATGCAATTAAATGGGAATAATACCTATAGACCCATTTGGATCTAAAACAAATGGATAACACCTATAGAGACCAGGATCTAAATTTATGCAATTTAAATGGGAATAATACCTATAGAGGTCCCATTTGGATCTAAATTTATGCAATTTAAATGAGAAAAACAAAAATTATTAGTTAAACTCAGTTTTGAACTTTTTGTTGACAAAATGAATTACCAGTGTCGATGATTTTTATCACGTTTCTATTACGGATCTAATGATCTAAGATTCGTCAGTGGAAATAATTAAAAAATCAACAGCACGCAACAGTAGCCTAATGGCAGGGCGCGGATCGCGAACTGTCGTGAACCACTCCTAACACAAGCGTTTCAAGCTTACCAGGAGTGGTTAAAAGGAATATTAGTAGTGTTAATTAATAAGATTACTAATATTTTGTTAAAAAAAATCTGCAATACAAAAATTTGTTCATAGTATCATAAAAACAGACGAATTTAAAAGTCTCTGAAGGAATCCTATAGATGTTCTTATTTATTGAAATGGTAATAAAATAATTTATTCCCTGTATTTTCTTAATATAGGTAGAGAGACTGACCGACAGCAAGGAGGACGAGACGGATTCCGGTCTACTGGAATGTAGAGTGATAGCGGGGGCGCCTCGAGAGTGGCTCTGCGCGTATATACCGCTTGTTGTGGGACTATACGAAGTTAGGATATTCACCAGTTCTGGTCCATTGCCAGGAAGCCCATTTTCAGTGAAAGTGAGTTCAACTTCTAAAATTAATTCCCAACCTAATATAAAGAATAATTAAATTATTTAAAAAATATATAAACCAAATTTAAATGTCATGGTATTTGGCTGAAGTCTATTTGGTGCCACCATAAATTTGCACAAGCGGTAAAGGAAAAATCGGCTTATTCGGTTAAGTAGTCTTAATGATATCGAGTTAGATACATCAAAGAAAAAGACATACTACAGTCAACATTACAACTTCCTTCCTTTTTAAAGTCGGTAAAAATGAATTTATTCTGATATTTTATTGTTATACGTAATAATAACTATATTATGGTTGTAACAAGAATGGATCGGCTCGACCAGGGAAGTACCACGCTCTCACAGAATACCAGCGTAAAATAGCAAGACGACGGAGACCCCTTTTTTAATGGAAACGAGGCATTGCATCTTAGTCCTCAGGGGTGACAACGCATCTGCGTTTTGATTCTTAATCGAGGATAAATGTGGATGTCTCTGGGCCACAGCATCCACTTACCATCAGGTGGACTGTGTGCTCACCCTTATTCTATTTAAAAAAACGACGGGTTGCACTCCGGGACTGGCGGCAGAAGTGAAAACTTGAATATTAACGTTGTGCATTTTTGATATTTGGGAATGATTAGGGAATAATTTTGCACGAATTGCTTTAATTATCACACACGAACATTCGCGCAAACGCCCTGCGCCGCCTAAACGAAACAGCAGGCGCAGGCGTACATTTCCACCGCGCCGTAGAAAGAGAGGGGGATACTTCCTCTCCTACGCCGCGCCGGCTGTCTCTCTCTCTCTCTCTCTCCATCCGTCTTACGAATTTTTGATCAGGGTCACGTACCCTGACGCGAGTTTAACATTTTTTACCTTTTACAAAAAAGTGTACAACGTCGCTAAAGAAGTTTTCACTTCAAAAAAATTATAGTATATCATTTTTATTTACGTTGTATAAGATATTACTTTAATTCATTATGTAGGTTCTAAATAGCGGTGCGGGTTGTGAGCACCATGGCTGTATTGCGCATGTACATTTTAGATAAAGTTTTGACTACAATTCGTTTTTAAATATATTCTTACATATACTTTCGGAAAGACTACCCTGTTCAATTTTTTTATTTAATTTCACAGGTCATAGATACGTCAGCAATAGTACCTGTTGGAGGATGGGGAACAGACAACTCTGGTCGAGTACGCGCTCCTTCCAAATTAGTGCTGGATATTACTAACGCAGGGCCTGGAACACTAGAGTGCCTTCTGGCTGGCAGACATCAACGTAAGTGAACTACTATTATAATATAATGACTTAAAAAAATATGAAAGTCAGCAGGTGCCATGTATGACGTTTAAGATTAAGGTATAAAAATTATTATAAAATGTACTTATTATACTTAAATTTTTGCGAGTATTTTATAGTTGTAGCATTAGCTTAATAAATGTATTAAGATGCATACTGAAACGAACAAGGTGAAATTATTTAAATAAATGATTAGAAAAGTGAGTTTTACGACTTATTGAAAAACTCTATATCAAAAGGCTACGTTTCGTTACATATATATATAATATTGAAGTTTTCGTTCACGAGCCAACACACGACAAACACCGCTACTTTGAGATGTATATTTATTATAATTTTTATTTGTAGGCGTAGAGACAGTATCTGGAAGAGCGGTCGTAACTCTGACGGCAGCAGAGGGTGTAAGCGGTGAACAAGAACTGGAGCTCACGTACAACGGGGCGCTGGTGGGCGGGGCTCCGAGACGCGCACTAGTCGCGTCCGGGAACACTGCCGATAGAGTCACACTAGCCGGCCGGGGGTTAGCACACGCTGCTCCTCATACCCCCGCCATATTTACCATCGGTTAGCAATTTTTTTATAATTTTATGTCTGTAAGTCTTTATTTTGTTATAAATTTAAATATATCTATCTACCTTTGATTAAAACTACTTTTACGGATTTAATCGCGTTATATTTATTTTATTCTTAATACCCGACGTTTCGGGTGCTTTCCAGCACTAATGATCACGGGGGACGAAACGTCGGGTATTAAAAAAAATTAAAAAATAAAACGCGATAAAATGCGTAAAAGTAGTTTTAATCAATGTGTAGTGTTCGCGTAAATATAAGAAATCATTATATATCTATCTTATGATTCCTAATCAAGTGTCACTTTCTATAGATTTTAATTTGAATGTCGGCAATATGAACAAGACCTTATTGCTAAGAAAAATTGATTTTAATGGTATTTATGTAATGCTTCTGAGCTGGTTGTCTTCCTTCATAACGGATAGAACCTAAAATGCTGGTTACGGACTCCAAAAAATCATGCAGATTTTTCGTCAGGTTATTTAACCATTGTACAAATCGGTCGGCGAAATGTAGAACGACCGTCCCACTAGATTGACAACTTTGTAAGACATGCAGGAAGTTGATGGATGCTTTAGGAACGTGTTTTGTGGTATTCACTGGAGTAGCTCTATGTTCAGCAATGTATTTGTGAATGTCATTAAAAAATGATGATTAAACACTACTGAACAAAAGACCTTATGACTGATAATGATTAGCCGAAGTGATAATTAAAAATGATAATGTCCTCCAGAGCTAATATCGGCATGGCTGCCAGTTTCAACGGAGACATGCCATTTACACAAGACGGGATAACAGGTGCACTTCTCAATTCCCTCACTCTCATAGTCCTATGGAACGGCAATCCGACACGACCGGAGAGAGATCAGGCGCAGGACCAACGGCTTTACGTGCTTTCCCAGGCACAGGGTGAAACACTGCCAACTTATTACATGGTAGAACCCATACTACATATATATTATACCTGCAGCGCGAATGGGTTGGCTTAAGCCAGGACTTAAAGCGTAGGATTTACACCCACAAAATACTAGCGTTAAATAGTAGAATAACGTTTCCGTGTTTCGTATGATTGTAGATTCGTCTGTTCACTGGAAGCAAGGCATACCATTACAGTCCTCAAGGGTAACAACGCATATCCATTTTGATTTTTAATTGTATCATCCGCATGACATCAATTGGACTGTGTTCTCGCTTATCAGCTTTATTCTTTAAAAAAAATCTGACTCCAGGCTGCCACTGAGAATTTCTTCTCACAGAAACACTCAATAAATGATATTGGCCTGACTTAGGATCATATGTTAAGCAGTCTAACTGCCACCTACTCATTACCACTAAACTAACGAGGCAAGTTTTTTATGACAAACGTACCAGTAGTATGAGTCCATAGAGTTTCGCTTACGACAGCTAGAAGCAGTTATTTTTATTTTGACAATAGTACCAGTAGTATGAGTTCATAGAGTCGCGCTTATGACAGCTAGAAGCAGTTGACTTTTTTTAGCAAAAATACCAGTAGTATGAGTCCATAGAGTATACGACAGCTAGAAGCATGAAGGTTAGAGAACAGGAGAACGATCGCCGTAGAAAATAGTGTCCCAGAAATATGGACACCATAAGTGAAGCGCTGCGATCACTAAGTTCAGTCAATAAGAGTCATTTTCAGTCTATTTTACGGATCAGATGCTAAACCACTTGCACATCCACGCACAATAAAATATTTCTCCATTTTTTAATGTTTCTTTTTGTCAAAAATTGCAAAATTATAGAGCATGAAAATTTTCGCATTAAAAATTAAATGAAAATTTGTACATTATTCAATTAACTTCATCTACTTGTACTCATAAACAGCTAACTTCGCAGTCACTACTCACAGATTCTACAATTTCCAAGGACAGGCGGGCTATGCTTTAGTACGTAGTGATCGTTCTCCTGTTCTCTAACCTTCATGGCTAGAAGTTATTGTTTGTATTTTGGCAAAAGTACCAGTAGTATGAGTTCATAAATTCGCGGTTACGACAGCTAGAAGCAGTTGTTTTTTTTTTTGGCAAAAGTACCAGCAGTATAAATGCACACAGTCGCGCTTACGACCGCTAGAAGTAGGCGTTTTTTTTTTGGCAATAGTGCTGGTAGTATGAAACCAACACGAAAAAAAACCGTACAGACGGCAGCGGTGCGGGGCCGGGCGCGCCCGAGGCGTCGCTGACGGCGCCGGACGGCAGCGCGGTGGCGGTGGCGCTGGCGGCCGCCGGGCCCGGCCTGTGGCGCGCCTCCTACACGCCGCGCCGCGCGGGCGACCATCAGCTGCGCGTGCTCTGGGCCGGACGCCTCGTCAAAGGTAACAAAACAACACCGACCCGCAGGGAACGAAATCGCCGATTTTACGTTACATCATTTGCCAGAGTCAAGTAATAAGAAATTATCTTCTATTTTTATATATTACTAGCTTACCAGGCAGACGTTGTTCTGCCCTTTTCGATGACCTTTTGTCATGTCCTATTAAAAATCCTTAAATTCGCAAAAAAATTTTTGGCTCACTCATGGGCAAAAAAACTATCCTATCTCTCAAGTGGACCAAACTGCACACGGTGTGCAAATTTGATTAAAATCGGTTAAGTAGTTTAGGAGTCCATCGCGGACAAACAACGTGACACGTAATTTATATATATTAAGATGTTCTTTGCGCATAAGGGTTGTACTTTCTATATATATTTCATTTTGTCTGCTTTTAATGTGTATTGGTGTACAATAAAAAATATATATTATGGTTGATTGACTATCCATTATAATATCATGTTAACTTCTTTGCAATATGCTTAATGCGTCACATTGTGAAGATTTTGAGAAATTTTAACGACAGCTAAACGCAGCGGACTGTCAATGACGACTGTAATTCATATTCATAAAACACAAGATGTCGAACGTCATAGTTTTTTCCCGGCTTATAAATTATAATCTATTTACCTCGATTAATATAAATTATTGAAAAATTCATTTGATCAAGTTAGTAGAGTACTTTATGTATACTATTTCAAGGAGTAGGTATCAATTCTCTAACGACAAAATCGTTTCTAAAATATCCCCATCCATCCATTACAGCCTATAAAAGACCATTGCTGAACATAGGCCTTTATTCATTGAGTTATATGTACTTCGTACTAGAGAAGCTATTCCAAACAAAAAATGTGCGCTACTCTGTCTTCACGAATGCGCAATAGACAGTAGATTCGCGCATGCGCAGTTCACATATAAACGTGCATTGCGCCTGCGCGGGCAGTATTTGTCGTCATAGATTGTACGTTGATAGAATGATCAGTATGAAATAAATATTTATTTAGATTATATTGTTAATTTTTTTTGTAAATTTTCATTATTTTGTATTTTAATTTTAATGATATTTATTGAATATTGTAAAAGGTAACTGTAAAATATAAAAACATACATTTTTTAATTATTACATTTATTTATTACATTATTATTACATTTTATTTACAAATATATTTATTTATAATATTTTATACTAAAAAGAAAGAACATAAAATGAATATTAAAACATATAAACTGTAGGGACGGGCCGAATATGGATTTCACCGAATACGAATATTCGGCCGAATGTTCGATAAAACTTTTACCGAACCGAATATTCGGCCGAACATTATTCGGCAGGATAACCTCGGGACCCAACCAATTTATGTCGAAACTTGTTACCGTAAAGCGCGTGGGATTAGCGCCGGACCCTGCCTCTCGCTCCCCGCCACACCTGTTAGTTATTGCATCATTGAGTACTGAGCAAATTACCGGCACATGCTAATGTTTTGACTATTCTTGTGATAAAAAAAGTATTTCGTTGTTTTATTCTTAGTGAAAATTGATAATTATATGATAAAAATTAGCGACAGGAGATTTACTATTTGGACTTATTGTAGAGAAACTGACGACCAAAGTAAAGGGAAATATACTAATGTAATATGGTAATGTTTCTTTGTTTGATTCCAAAAACATTTTATCAATTTTCTATTTACTATAATCGGAAACAAATCTACAGTGCCTCAAAAACATAAATGTATAGATTTATGCATTTGAGGCACTCTAGAGTAAGTAGATTTAACCCATAAATAAAATGTACTTTCAACAGTAAAAGACATCGCATTACTCAATTCGTACATTTCAATACATTGGACACTATGAAAACGGATGTTCTGTGATTTAGCCGAATATTCGGCCGAATACGAATATTCGGCAAAGCTGCCGAATATGCCGAATACAGAATATAAGACGACTATTCGGCCCATATCTAATAAACTGATTATAAAATAATTAAAAAAATTAAAAATCTTCCTAAAAATAGCACGCCAAGTCTTTGGTCAGTAAAATATTTTACCTACATTCGGTTGTTTTGTAATGGAACATCTGCATGTTTTCGTCTATGATTGTGGATGGCATGGCATTTAAATGAAGAATAATTTTTTCTATTGTGGTATTACGATTACGATTTTTCACTTGAACATTAAATATTTTTAGTTACTTCACTACTGAATTGTTATTTATGACTAAGTTCAAACTTGGATTTGAATTTTCGTATTATTAGCGCTGCTCCGCACTGCATGAATATCGAAGCCACACTAAGTGACACTAAAGTAAGGTGTATGCATTACAGTACAGTTCAGTTTGAACACAGTGAGTGTTTGGGATGCGAAATCTAGTGCGTAGTACATATACGAGTATATCGATGCCTCCGTCATAGATTGCCTCACAGTGGGGCTTTTGTCATAAGTAGTTGACACTCTTAACGAGTGGGTTTTCAGCCGCAGTTTTTTTTATTTTGAGTTGTTTCCCCCTCTCATCGCTTACGACATCCGCGAGACGATATGGGGTGGTGGATATTCTTACACCGCCACTACACGGCATACTTGGTCTTATATGATATTTGGTGGCAGGGTGCCCGCTGACGGTGAAGGTGGCAGCCGGCGCGGAGAGCGGGGACGCGGCGCGCGTGGTGTGCTCGGGCGCGGGGCTGACGGGCGGCGTCGTGGGCCGCGAGATGCGCTCCTGGATAGACACGCGCCGCGCCGGCCCCGGGGAGCTCGCCGCGCACTGCACCGGACCCAACAAGGTACACACACACACACACACACACACACACACACACACACACACACACACACACGCACGCACGCACGCACGCACGCACGCACGCACATACACACAAACGTACACACGCGCGCGCTACGGACACAGCAAATAGCTAGAATAGCTTCCTAGGTTCTCGAATCACTTTAATCGTACCGACTATACCTATTTGTCATATATTTCCATTGTTCTAAATTAAATTATTTCACTGGTTCTGTTGTAGCAGCGTACAAGAAACTATCACCCCATCTCATCCCGTGGGTTTCGTATGAGGCAACTAAGGAAAATGGAAAGGAACAAGGAATATCTAACGACTTCAGTATTCGCCGGATATAAAATACCCAGACCGAGAACGTGGTGTGAAACGTCTGGATCTCGGACTAATCCACACAACAACGTAAGAGGACCGTGTCCAGCAATGGAAATTATGATGATGATGATTATAGCTAATACAAAAAAGTATAACTTGTATGTATTAGTAGGATTAACTTAAATTCAACATTTTAGAGACCCCCGAAACCAAAAGGCCTGGTAATGGTCTTTAAACGGCTAAACAGATTTTCTTAAAACATAGCTAAGATCACTCTCGATTAAGTCACCTTTGATATGAAAAATTACTTAACCAAAATTAGGTCATCTGTTTAGGTGATATAATACAAACCCTTCTGTTTTCGTTAAGGGTTAAAAAGAATTCTATGTATACTACCCGTCAGCACTACGATACTAATACAATGCGCACTTAGCTACGCTCAATTCTCCGTAACTACTTTAGACGTCTGCTAAGAGCCAAGAAGACTAGTTCTTTGTTATGTAAACCGCGAACGTTGTTTTCAATAATCTAACACTGATTTGTTTAACGTTGTGACTAAAAAAAATGCTGTCATTCGGTGCGTTCGGCAGAAAAAAGCGCTAGCAAGCGCTTGTAAGCAAAATGGCGATCGTAATCGGTAAGCACTGTCAAATCGTAAGTAGCTATTTTCCTCCAGGACACGATTTTAGTTTTAACCGGGGATTCTAACCTAATTTAAATATATGTTTGTAAAATATGCATATTAAAAATTTACCAATCATGAGTTTTTAATAGCATGTAGATGTTTATTCATGTCATTATATTACTTAAAACTAATATTGCACAAAACAACTTATAAACTCTATTTCAAAACAAACAAATTAAATAAGCAAAATGGCGGATTGTGTCAGCGCTACTGAAGTAGCAATCGTGTCCTGGCCGAAAACTATTTTAGCGCTTATAAGCGCTTGCTAGCGCTTTTTTCTGCCAAACGCACCCATTATATATGTGCGCACTTTGTTAACGTGATTTGAACTTTATATCTTTTATTTTTTAATCTATATGTTAAAATTATAATGGTTATTTTCTACATAAATTTATAAAAATAATTGATTGTAAATAACTGCAAATGTTGTGGCCTGTAGACACCTGCATCTATTCTCGATTAAGAATCAAAATGCAGATGCGTTGGTCTTACTTGTAATATAGAGGTGCACATTCATATTGTTTCAGTGTGCATAAGCTCGAAAATCTATAATTATTATTGAGTGCCGTCAGTACGCAAATTAAATGGAAAAAGTTGTAAGAAATATGTTAGAATTAATGTGCATTTTGCTAAGCATAAAGTAAAGCTCCGTATTCGTGAGATAAAACATATATACTCTAAAAGAAAATTTATGGTATTTTGATTAATTCGGAGATGGCACGTGAAAATGCGGCCACGTTAATTGAAATAAAAGTAAATAGTTATTCAATAAAAAATTTGCACAACTTACGCAACGCAAGTTAATCAATCAAGCGAAGTTAAATGTTAGTTTGACAGTCCAATTCTTGTCGTGTGTACCATAGTACCCAAAAATATTAACATGCAGCACACTTAAGAATATAAAAATATGTGATAATAGACCCGGCTCTAATATATTTATTATGATATTGCTGCATTGATAAAACTGAGAGCAGATTTTTTTAAGATAAAAAGGCTACCTAAGTCAGTAACATTAATTATATTTAATTATTATGTGATTTTTATAGTAAGGGTGACAAACGAGCACGTAGTCCACCTGATGGTAAGTGGATGCTATGGCCCATAGACATCTACATTTATCTCTATCTCTATCTCGCTCTGCGAATAACGCACTCAGGCCGCTAAAACTACGCTTCTCCGTGTACATACACAGTTACACGCACACACGTGTAACGAAACTACACCTGGCCTTGTCAGTCGAGCTATCTGATGTGACGTAATAATAAATTGCAATATTTATTAGTGAAAATGCCTAATTATATAATGAAAGAATGTAAAAATCAATCTTCAAGAAATAAAGAACAGGATTGATCTCACTTCACATGTAAAAGTAAACTTGGAAACTAATATTTAATAAATCAAAATAAAAATTAAGGTTATCGTTTAGAACATAAAACCTCTACATAAATATTGATAAAATTAAGAATTATAGTTTAAAAACCCAGTTATGGGTAAATGTGAAATGTAACGTAACGTAACGTTACAATTACATTACAATAACAATAATGTAAAACTTTTTTTTTTTTGGTGGGTAGGTGCTCAAAAAGTTAACACACGTTTCTGTGATCGAATTTTATGTATTTAGTGTAAAAAGTATTTTTCTAGCGTAATTTCATGTTTAATCTTAATATTATTGCCTAGTTAATTTCATATTGTGCGGACAATAATTTAATGCTGAAGAAATAACACAGTGAACACACCTGCCGGCGACTGTGTCAACACCATATTATTCAAGTGCAATTTTCACGTTACGGAATTCCACTGACATAAAATGACTAACCTTATCGATATTTCTGAAACTCAAAAAACAATAGAAGCTACACTTCAAAAAAGAATGGATGACTTTGAGCGTCAACTTGGCACTGCCTCGACCAAACCAGAAAATCTTGTGCAAATTAATAAAGAATTTAATGCATTTCGCGACTATGTTCAAGAGATCTTCAAGCTAATGCGACAGCAAATTTACGAGGTGAGCCAGTTAGCCGATTCATTGGAAATGAGACACCGAAAGAAATACCTCATCCTTAGTGGAGTACCTGAAGAGGCTGATGAGAATACAGCTGGTATTGTTACTACAATATTAAAAAACAACCTTGGTCTCATCGACATCACAGCCTCCTCCTTCAAGGTTGTACACAGACTTGGATCAGCATCTACGGGCCATAGTAGGCCTGTACTTTTTAGACTTACTGATTCATCCCTCCGCTACACTGTTTGGAGGAAAAAGGCTTCACTTAAGGGCACCCCCTTTATACTTTCTGAATTCCTAACTAAACAACGCAAAGCTGTATTTATGGAAGCACGCAAACTTTTCGGTATGCGTAACGTTTGGACGCTGGACGGAAACATCACGATTAAATTGCCAGATGGAAGCCGGCATAAAGTATTTACTTCTGAAGACCTTAAAACGTTTGTTCTTGGTAAGAAATCGGATCCCGTCGGCCAGTTGGTATCAGGTGACAATGCAGCTCGGTCATCTGGAAAGTCTGAACTAGCACATACCAGACGTGCTGGTAAGATTAAATAATGCGTTTTTTTTTTGTGGAATCATTGTAGTGTAATCTCATCTCAATCATAATTGTTTCACTGATAATCTAATTGCAACATATTAAGTTGTTTTATATAACTAAAGATACAATTCACTAATACCCTATTGTTAGTCTTTCATGGGCTTAATTTTTATATACCTAGTATATACCTTTTTCTTTTAACTCTTTTTATCCTGTATTTTTTATTATAGTCAAACATAAGAAGACAATTTTGGTCTATTTAGTAAATAATAAGCATTTGTTTATTTCTAATTAGGATCATTATTTTTGTTTTAAGTGTCTTGTTTTATTCCTTACACCAGATTAAGTAGTTACTATTAGATTTGATTAAGTATTAGATTAAGTATTTCTATTCATAACCTACAAGTTTTAATTATAGTGATTTCATTACATAATACATTAGGTCTAGGATTTTAGTCATTACATTATATATTTTTAAAAAGATAGTACTATAGCTTAAGTAGTACATGGAATTCAATAATACAACCGGATACTTATGCTATTAGATAATTCTGTATACCTTTTATTAATTATCATACTGATTGTTAAATATATTAATACCTAATGATTTGTACCCAATCTATGATTTCAAATATCAGTACTAGTACTTATACGTTTAAATGTTTTTGCGTGTTAGATAGAAATATATAGGATTAATATTTTATAATAGAACAGTAGGTAATATCAGTATACAATAAAATAACAAATAGTAGTAACATAAAACAGCAAACAATAAACATAGCACAGAGTACTTTTGGGAGAGAGCAGATAGCACGACATGCATAGGTTAAATACGAAATGATTTTCATTTAATGTTGTATCGGTAGCTACCGGGCTTTTGACCAAAGCGAAATATTGGATAATTGCATGTTTTACTTCTCTCTCTCTCTCTCTCTCTCTCTCTCTCTCTCTCTCTTTTATTTTACATGTTTTTAAATGTTTTTTTTTTAATTATTTTACTACTAGCAGTTATGTCACAACATGATCTATATTCTGTGCTGTTTAGATTATGTCGAATTTAATTCACCCTACCTTTGTATTCTTGTACCGTTAATATTCAGACATACTTGGATGTTTATGATTTTGTATCTGGTCATAATTATAAATTTCTGTAGACTCCTTATTTGCTTACTGTAAACAGTCGACCGGCGGGCTAGTGCCTATATTAACTGCGTGCCTTTTTATTTACATATTTATAATTTATATATATATATACATATATTTTAATATCATATCTATTTTACATACCTTACAGTAATTCGTTTTACAATACAATGTCTGATGATGGTTCCTTTTACTCGATTTCTGACTCAGATTTATCATTTAAATCCACTGAAGACTCGGTAACAGAATCGGTTAGCCTAAACATGTTTATTGCTCAGCAACTTACAAATTCCCATAAACACTTCAATGTTTGTCACATCAATGCGCAGAGCTTACCACATCATTTCTCCGAACTTTTGGATATCTTTACCGATACGATCCATGCTATCTTAATCTCTGAAACCTGGCTCAAACCATCTCTACTCTCGACTTCTTTTAGTATACCCGGCTTTGTGCTATTACGAAATGATAGACTAGGAAACCGAGGTGGTGGAGTGGCGATCTACCTTCGCTGTGGTATCCCTTATAAAGTTATCGCATCTTCTCCTTCTATAGCATCTGGATCTCTTGAGTATCTCTTCGTAGAAGTTCTCTTAAATGGAAACAAAATTATTCTTGGAGTTGTATATTCTCCGCCTTCAGTTAACTATTTTCATGATCTTGAGTCAGCTATCATGAATATCGCATCTGAGTACGCACATCACATAATTATGGGCGACTTCAATACTGACCTTTTGCAGAACTCTTCTAGATCGCGAGAACTACGAATGATCATGAATTCAGTAAATTTCTCTATTCTCCCACTTGGACCCACGCATTCTAATATTAACACTGCTGATTCATGGCTAGATTTGATAATCGTTTCGTCTACTGAACATGTTGTAAATCATGGGCAGTTTTCGGCTTCTGGTTTCTCGCGCCATGATTTTCTATTCATTACCTATAGAGTCAAATCGCCTAAAGTTACCGCACCTGTTCTGCGTCTGCGTAGCTTTGCGACTCTGGATATGGAGTTGTTGAAACGGAAAGCCGCCTCAATAGATTGGTCAGATATTTTTAATACATCAGATGTAAATCATATGGTAGAGACACTGACTAATAATATCCTTCAGTTATACGATGCAGTAGCGCCGATTCGCAATGTTAAAGTCAAGCGCCCCCCAGCACCGTGGATGGACAGTAACATCCGTAAAGCAATGGCAAAACGTGATCGGGCTTTTGTAAGATTTAAAAACAATCGCTGTGATGCCAATTGGAATGTATATAAGGCTACCAGAAACAGATGCAATCAGATGGTTCGAGCTGCAAAACGCCGACATATCCATAAGAATATTATAAGCTCTTCGCCAGCCGGCACTTGGAAATTTCTTAATTCCCTTGGGTTAGGTAGACTAAAGAATGGCCCTGATATGGGGTCGATAATTCCATTAAACATAGAACTATTTCTCTTATCTCATCACTTCCCAAAATCGACGCAAACTGCTTTGCTTTTTCTCCAATAACTGATGAAGATGTTCGTAAAATTATTTTTTCCATTAAATCTAAAGCAACTGGCTATGATGATGTGAGTAGAAATATGATTATCCCCATACTTGACAACATTCTCCCAATCATTACCCACATCATCAATTTTTCTTTCTCTACTGGGGTTTTTCCATCTTTTTTGGCGTAAAGCATTTGTCCTTCCACTTGCCAAGTTAAATAATCCCAGTTCTGTTAACCATTTTCGACCAATTTCTATACTTCCCTTTCTTTCAAAGACTTTAGAATCAGCTGCATACAAACAGTTATCCAGCTACATTTATAAAAATAATCTTCTTAGTCCCTTGCAATCAGGTTTTCGTCCTGGGCATAGTACAACCACTGCTCTCCTTAAAGTTCTTGATGACGTACGAGAGGGTATGGAGGAATCAAAATTAACGGTTCTCGTATTAATTGACTTCTCCAATGCTTTCTGTACAGTTGATCATGACATTCTTCTTGCTATCTGTAAATACATGGGTTTCTCTTCGTCAGTTTTGGATTGGTTATCAACTTATCTTCGTGGTCGCCAGCAAAGAGTTAAAGTCAACCAACAGTCTTTCTCTGATTGGTCTGATCTTACTACTGGCGTTCCACAAGGCGGAATTCTTTCTCCTTTATTATTTTCTATTTTTATAAATCTCATAACTGTAAATTTCAAATGCTCCTACCATCTGTATGCTGACGATTTACAGCTGTACGCTCGGATTGATCCAGCAGAGGTTAACTCCGCGATCGAAATTTTAAATGTAGATCTTGAGGCCATCTGTGACTGGTGCAGAAATTATGGAATTGCTGTCAATCCTGTTAAATGTCAAGCGATAATTCTCGGTAGTCCTCGCCGTATAGCTAAATTAGATTTTAATTCACTGGAGCCTATCGTTTACAATAGCACAATTATTCCTCTTAGTCAAGTAGTTAAAGACCTTGGGTTAATGATTGATGCTAATTTAAGTTGGCGTTCTCAGGTGGCTGAAATAAGCCGGAGAGTGACAATCACCCTGCCGTGGCCTTTATCGTTTCAAGAATTTCCTTCCAACCGAGACTAAGGCTATGTTGGTGCGAGTGCTTGTTTTACCACTCATTGATTATGCTGATGTGTGTTACTCTGATGTGAGTCAACTACTTCTGTGCAAATTGGATCGTTTATTAAATAATTGCATCCGTTTTATTTTTGGCCTTCGTAAATACGATCATGTATCCATATATCGTTCTAAGCTTAAATGGCTCCCTATCCATCAGCGTAGATGTATCAAAATTCTTCGCACGCTTTTTTCAATCCTATATGATCCATGCACTCCCCAATACCTGAAATGCAAGTTTCAGTATTTGGGTTCTTCTCACGATCGTAACCTGCGATCCTCCGAGGGAACTACATTATGTGTTTTTCCTCGCCGTACCAAATTTATGTCTCAGTCTTTCGCCGCTGAGGCCATAAGGCTATGGAATAAATTACCCCCTCATATCAGAAAACCGACTTCTGTTGCCACATTTAAGAGGATGGTGACTGATCACTACCTTTCTTCTTCCAGCAAGTAACTTTCATATTTGTTTCTGCTTATATGTGACTTGACATCTTAAATTATTTAATTTGTTTTAGTTATGTTCGTATGTAAGTATACTTAAAATGTATGTATTATGTACTATTTAAACATTATGTATGAAATGTATCATATATTACTTAGGTTAATTGTAGTTGTGTATATTTATTTTTGTATTTACACTTATGGTATGTCTATTTATATATTTACATTTACGTATAAATTATCCACATATTTTATGGCACCTGCTAAAGTTCTCTGCTTAGCCCATGGTTGACTGGTAGAGAATGCCTAAAGGCATTAAGTCCGCCAATTGTACATTTTAAGTGCAATAAAGTTTTTTTAAATTAAATTAAAAAACTACATCCCCATTCTGTATGGGGAATTTGATCAATAAGCGACGATGAGTATGGGAAAGCTTTCAGATCTTACTGTCGAAATTATAACACTTAGATTCATATTGTTTTTACATTGTGTCTACACCTCAGTCGAATTCTATTGGCGGTGAAAAAAAAAATCAAAATGACGGAATACAAGATGGCAGTAATTTTATTTTTGATACACTTTTCTGATTTCCTTTCTACTTCCGCCACTTTTTTTACCTACACCTCATGTCAGAATTGCTCATCTGGACACCTTGGTTTCTAATGTGTTATTCGTTACGTAACGTTGACGTTATTCGTTACGTTATTGTTATAACATTGGGGTACTATGAATTGTTATGGCAACACCAACTCACGCACTACGTTCATAAGAACTCAGCCTCTGTTCGGCAGAGTTCCGTTTTATTTTTTTTATTTTGTCTGAGGTTGTCACCCCTGATGATCGAGATGAAATGCCTCATTTCCAGTAAAAAGGGTCTCTCGTTCTCTACACTCACCATACATAACACTTATTAAACTGCTATTTTACGCTGATATTTTGTGAAAGTATGGTCCTACCTCGGTCAATGCGACCCATTCGTGCTACAACCATAATATATTTAGCTGCAGCATGCCTCTACCACGTAAAAATTTTTATGGTGTATTAGCGTTACAATGACTATATGAGGGTATGAACTTTTCTCCCATTTTGTAAGACGATTATATTTTATGCCTTTGTGCTATAACATATACAAAATATAAATTTGGGGAACATGATTTAACTGTGTCTCGAGATATTTTATAATTTCCCGGGAATATAATTTTTTCGTTGTAGAAAGTTTTGAAATGAGGATAAATTTCGTTTTTCAAAAATTTCTACAACAAGGTTTTACATAAATTCTGAGCAAATTATTATATAGTTTGCCAATCACCTAAGAAAATATATACTTAATATAACAAAAAGCAATATAAAGGCCAGTAATACCAGTGGTAAAATTGCATATATTAAATTGGAACTGTTTACACTACTAACGTCAAAACGGAAAAATCTGTTTAGATTGACAAAGACAAAAAAATGAGTTTAGAAGTGAATACTTTTTCAGGTGGCGTATTGTGAACTATACGAGCACGGCGACGGCACTTTCACACTGAACGTGAAACCGGCGGAGGCGGGCCGGCACGTGCTCAGCATACAGTTCGCTGGTGAGCACGTGCCCGGCTCGCCTTTCGTGCTCAAAGTCGCGGGCGCTCCAGACCCTTCGAAGGTAACGACGTTGTTTTTTTATATATATATATATATATAATATATATATATATATATATAAAAAATATATATATATATATATATATATATATATATATATATATATATATATATATATATATATATATACCTCTATTAAATCAAAATAATACCTAATTAACCTAATACCTAATTACTAATTAATACCTAATTAAATCGAGTGACAAACAAATTTACAATTTCTCTGCGCCTTACATGACTAATCTACCCTAATCACTTACCATTAGCTGCGATGCGTTGTGACCTATGAGAACTAAATTAGAATTCCCATACAGCCTGTAATTATACTGGTTTTTTATCCTTCATACTGGAATAGAACATTTGGCAGCAGAAATATGTAAGATAAAGCAGAAAAGGACTCAGTGCTAGATGCTAGAGAATTTAATAATATGTTTGAATTTTTTTCTAATCTCAAATAAATATAAAACTAATCATAACTTGTATAATTAACATATGGTATTAACAGTTTAATTAATATAAGTAATGTATATACATAACTTATATTTATGAAACTGTTAATTCCTTTGTCACCCTTATTTGTATATAAAGTTGTACGTTTTTTATGGAATAAGGGCGACAAACGGGCACACCGTCCACCTGATGGTAAATGAATGCAGTGGTCTATAGACTTCTATATGTATCCATAGTTAATAATCAAAATTCAGACATGTAGGTACCCCTGAAAGCTACGATGGAATACCTCTGTTCCACTAAAAAGGACAATCTACACTTATTAAACTAAACACATCAATATTGACCTGCTATTTCACACTGATATTTCGTGAGAGCGTGGTTCTTTCTAAGTCGAACCGATCCTTTCGTGCTACAACCATAATTAGCTGCAACTGAGCTCTACCAGGTTAACTGTTAGTTATTGTCAAAATGTATCCATAATTTAAAAAATCTTTATACGCACCATCATTACGTTCTAGAAAAGACGCCGAGGCTTGGTTGTTTGTAAGCATGCATTAGAGCCCATGGGTTCAAACTTAGTCTGTTCTATAAAATGCATTGCCGCACGGATTTTGTCCGCGGTGTCTTTACGTACGTCTGTCTAGTACGTAGTACACATTACATCAATGATATGAGTATAGAGAATTTCATTTTGTCCGCGGTGTCTTTACGTACGTCTGTCTAGTACGTAGTACACATTACATCAATGATATGAGTATAGAGAATTTCATTTTGTCCGCGGTGTCTTTAGGTACTTCTGTCTAGTACGTAATACACATTACATCAATTATATGAGTATAGAGAATTTCATTTTGTCCGCGGTGTCTTTACGTACGTCTGTCTAGTATGTAGTACACATTACATCAATGATATGAGTATAGAGAATTTCATTTTGTCCGCGGTGTCTTTAGGTACTTCTGTCTAGTACGTAATACACATTACATCAATTATATGAGTATAGAGAATTTCATTTTGTCCGCGGTGTCTTTACGTACGTCTGTCTAGTATGTAGTACACATTACATCAATGATATGAGTATAGAGAATTTCATTTTGTCCGCGGTGTCTTTACGTACGTCTGTCTAGTACGTAGTACACATTACATCAATGATATGAGTATAGAGAATTTCATTTTGTCCGCGGTGTCTTTACGTACGTCTGTCTAGTACGTAATACACATTACATCAATTATATGAGTATAGAGAATTTCATTTTGTCCGCGGTGTGTTTACGTACGTCTGTCTAGTACGTAATACACATTACATCAATGATATGAGTATAGAGAATTTCATTTTGTCCGCGGTGTCTTTACGTACGTCTGTCTAGTATGTAGTACACATTACATCAATGATATGAGTATAGAGAATTTCATTTTGTCCGCGGTGTCTTTACGTACGTCTGTCTAGTACGTAATACACATTACTACAATGATATGAGTATAGAGAATTTCATTTTGTCCGCGGTGTCTTTACGTACGTCTGTCTAGTACGTAGTACACATTACATCAATGATATGAGTATAGAGAATTTCATTTTGTCCGCGGTGTCTTTACGTACGTCTGTCTAGTACGTAGTACACATTACATCAATGATGTGAGTATAGAGAATTTCATTTTGTCCGCGGTGTCTTTACGTACGTCTGTCTAGTACGTAGTACACATTACATCAATGATATGAGTATAGAGGATTTCATTTTGTCAGCGGTGTCTTTACGTACGTCTGTCTAGTACGTAGTACACATTACATCAATGATATGAGTATAGAGAATTTCATTTTGTCCGCGGTGTCTTTACGTGCGTCTGTCTAGTACGTAGTACACATTACATCAATGATATGAGTATAGAGAATTTCATTTTGTCCGCGGTGTCTTTACGTAAGTCTGTCTAGTACGTAGTACACATTACATCAATGATATGAGTATAGAAAATTTCATTTTGTCCGCGGTGTCTTTACGTACGTCTGTCTAGTACGTAGTACACATTACATCAATGATATGAGTATAGAGAATTTCATTTTGTCCGCGGTGTGTTTACGTACGTCTGTCTAGTACGTAATACACATTACATCAATGATATGAGTATAGAGAATTTCATTTTGTCCGCGGTGTCTTTACGTACGTCTGTCTAGTACGTAATACACTTTACATCAATTATATGAGTATAGAGAATTTCATTTTGTTCGCGGTGTCTTTACGTACGTGTGTCTAGTACGTAGTACACATTACATCAATGATATGAGTATAGAGAATTTCATTTTGTCCGCGGTGTCTTTACGTACGTCTGTCTAGTACGTAGTACACATTACATCAATGATATGAGTATAGAGAATTTCATTTTGTCCGCGGTGTGTTTACATACGTCTGTCTAGTACGTAATACACATTACATCAATGATATGAGTATAGAGAATTTCATTTTGTCCGCGGTGTCTTTACGTACGTCTGTCTAGTACGTAGTACACATTACATCAATGATATGAGTATGGAGAATTTCATTTTGTCCGCGGTGTCTTTACGTACGTCTGTCTAGTACGTAGTACACATTAAATCAATGATATGAGTATAGAGAATTTCATTTTGTCCGCGGTGTCTTTACGCACGTCTGTCTAGTACGTAGTACACATTACATCAATGATATGAGTATAGAGAATTTCATTTTGTCCGCGGTGTCTTTACGTACGTTTGTCTAGTACGTAGTACACATTACATCAATGATATGAGTATAGAGAATTTCATTTTGTCCGCGGTGTCTTTACGTACGTCTGTCTAGTACGTAGTATACATTACATCAATGATATGAGTATAGAGAATTTCATTTTGTCCGCGGTGTCTTTACTTAAGTCTGTCTAGTACGTAGTACACATTACATCAATGATATGACTATAGAGAATTTCATTTTGTCCGCGGTGTCTTTACGTACGTCTGTCTAGTACGTAGTACACATAACATCAATAATATGAGTATAGAGAATTTCTTTTCACTGTTGGTTTGTTTTTCACGGTTTTTCATTATTAATTTTAACACTTTACTTTATCCCTTTAACTGGAAACGAGGCACTCCATTTCAGTCCTGTAGGATGACGACGCATCTCCATTTTATTTCTTATTGAAGATAAATGTAGATGTCTGTGGGCCACAGCATCCACTAATCATCAGGTGGACTTTGTACTCGTATGTCGTCCATGTTCTATAAAAAAATGTACAACAGGTCCGCGTGTACGGGCCGGGTGTGGAGCCGGGCGTGCTGGCGACGTTCCAGTCACGCTTCCTGTGCGACACGCGCGGCGCCGGCGCCGGCCAGCTCACGGTGCGCGTGCGCGGGCCCAAGGGCGCCTTCCGCGTCGAGATGCAGCGTGAGAGCCAGAAGGACCGCACCATACTGTGCAAGGTACGCACACACACGTACACGCGACACGACACCGCGGACCCAAGGGCGCCTTCCACATCGAGATGCAGCGTGAGAGCCAGAAGGACCGCACCATACTGTGCAAGGTACGCACACACACGTACACGCGACATGACACCGCGGACCCTAGAGCGCCTTCCACATTGAGATGCAGCGTGAGAGCCAGAAGGACCGCACCATACTGTGCAAGGTACGCACACACACGTACACGCGACATGACACCGCGGACCCTAGAGCGCCTTCCACATCGAGATGCAGCGTGAGAGCCAGAAGGACCGCACCATACTGTGCAAGGTACGCACACACACGTACACGCCACACGACACCGCGGTCCCAAGGGCGCCTTCCACATCGAAATGCAGCGTGAGAGCCAGAAGGACCGCACCATACTATGCAAGGTACGCACACACACGTACACGCGACACGACACCGTGCGCGGACCCAAGGGTGTCTTCCGCGTCGAGATGCAGCGTGAGAGCCAGAAGGACCGCACCATACTATGCAAGGTACGCACACACACGTACACGCGACACGACACCGTGCGCGGGCCTAGGGTGTCTTCCGCGTCGAGATGATGCGCGAAGCCAGAAGGACCGCTCCATAATATGTTAAAAATCTCATGAACCTGAACAATTACACGCACACACACACACACACACACACACACACACACACACACACATACACACACGTGCGCGTGTGTGTGTGTGCGCGTGAGGAACGTGTTTTATAATGGCTCAAAGGCCCAGAAGTTATGCCAAAATATATTAAAATCGTGTTTTACACGTTCCGTTTCAGACTACGAAAAACTTGTTCATTCGTCATGTGATTTATGAATGTTCAAAGTAACCAATTTCTTTTTTTTATAACTTATTAATTTATGATTAAATACGATTTCAATGGTTTTATGCTATGGTGTGGAAGGAAAAATAAGTGTACAGACCTTAATTGACAGCTGTTATAACCTCAAAATTTTATTTACTTAATAGCATTTTTCGCTGGCCTCTGAATGAAAAGATGATAAGTTATTATGTTATTAAAAACAATAATTGTTTCTACGCAACAGTAGTTATAGGTAGACGCTACCTGTTAAAAAAATCAAGTGACAGGTCAATCAATGTATGTAAAGTAGGCATGATTCTTTCACAACAGCCGTTAAGTTTGAATGTTGTTATACCCATAAACTACTGCTCAGCCTAACTATTTACGTAAAGCCAAACTTTGATGTAACATTCCGTTTATGCACTGATTATCTTGTTTTAAGATATTTATCATATTGTATATTTATTTAAACAATGCAATGATTGTCTACAGTTTTCACCCACCGAACCCGGCGACTACCGCGTGGAGGTGCGCTGGGCCGGCCGCCACGTGCCCGGCTCGCCCTTCCCCGTCATGATATTCGACACACAAGAGGAACTGCGCAGATACCTCCAGTCCATCGCGCCTTAACATACTTAGTCATACTAACTGAAGCATTACAGTCAAGCATTAATTCCGCCATCTTTAAAAAAGTAACATGTAGTAGGATTTTATGAAAATCACCTTAGTTTCGTTCTATCAGCCATATTTAGCTTCCTGCTATTCTTTTGTTTTTATTACGGATGCAAGTCTGGAACGGAATCTATATTTTTGTATTTATTATAATTTTGTAGCTTTAAAAGTATAATATTATGATTAACGTTTTATATTCTATTGTATTATTTTTATACTATTATTGAAAATGGTATACGGTATAATGAACTTTTATATCAGGAAAATGTTTGAGAACGATGGAACATAATGTAACAAACAGTGTTACCATAAAAACACAGTTAAAGTGTATATATAGTAGGTATTTTCTATACGTAAATTACAAAAAAAATATACAGTAAAAATTGATCTGGATATTAAATAACATTCCAATTTAATTTTTCCTTTATTTTAATTACACTACTTGGACTAAACCATAGGGAACTAAATCAATATTTGGTAAATGTGGTAACACTGTTGTCATCTTTAAAGTAACTGCCAAAATTACTACGGTATAGGAAAATAGGATACTGATTGTTAGGATACTAATTGAAGAACACAATCCGTCCACCATTATTATTTTAAAATTATTTTATTTAAAATTGCATAATATGTCATTTCAAATTAAGCAAAAGAAATGCTTTCCTTATAGTACATTCCGATGTAAAACTAATTGTAAGAAAATCATTATACAATTGTTTATTTGTTAATATTTATTAATAACGGCATTTAGTTGTAGGCGTCTTTACTTTTGTAACTAACAAAACCACTTGTTTCTTTGTTATAACTTTGGTAGGTCGTACGTTTAGTGCGGACTCGATAGAGTGAACCGCTGATTAATTCAGTTACTAATTGTTAATAAATTGAACTTTATTACAATTTATGTATTTTATTTAAATAACACCTTAAACTATAGTGATCCAGGAGACCTTCCCTCAAGCGAATAATATATAAATATTGTATCGACAGCGTCTAAAGAGTCAGTATTTTTTATTGTCGACACATCGCGCATTGGAATCAAACATTGCTTCGTCATTCTTAATGCGTGCAGCAAAAAGGCCAATACCTTGCCATTGTCCATTTGTCTATCTGATAACAAAGCGGATGTTTGAAAGTAATTAACCGATAACTAATTTTTAAAATAATTTCTGTTTTAAACTTAAGTTCAAATATATAAATATAACTGTATTGCTGTTTTGAATATACGTGTAAATAAGACTTATTTTATTTGAAATTATCCCAAATTGAATATGATTTATGGGCAACAACGTTTTTGCCTACCGATCGACCATAACGAAAGTGTGCGTACGCATTAAAACCAGTTAAAATATGTGTATTGCATTACCATGCATTTTAGATTTGAGAGACAACAAGGACGGAATGTTTGAGATTTTTTTAAATAATTTTTCTTCACTATTTGCGTACATTACTTATTCTGAACCTTCTCTGCAAATTTGACCGATTATTACAAAAACCAATCTTACCAGCCTCGAGACGTAAAGTAGCCAGCCTTTCGGACAACCAGACGTTCGGCCAGTCCTTCATTGTTGACTTACCACGCATTCAAACCAAATGGTTTTCTACGTCGGTCACCATGGCTGTACGCATGATGACCGACGTAGAAAACCATTTGGTTCCAAAGGAGTGGAATAAGTTGTCAGCATCTGTCTTTCCTTTTACAGTATGGGTGTCTTCAAGGCAAGAGTGAATAGACTTTTGTTAAGTCAGTGGGATTTTAGTTAAGTGCTGGCTTAGAATTAAAAAAAAATAACACTGTATATTTTTCGACTCGCGTGATATCGAGAGCTCTTATGATTTTAACCCAATTGCTAGTTACGTGTTAGGTAACAGTAGTATAAAACATCGGCGATGCATGAACCGGTTTTAAAGGTTTCAGTCTTGTTATATGACCCTGAAATTTCAATATGCAAACAACATAAAATACGCTAGAATGCTTGATAATATTCAAAGTCTCGTAGTAATGGCTTAAGAGAATCATTATCATCCCACGGGTGACCTTAGAGGCTACACAAGAAACTGAAACGTTGAATGAGCAGTACAGTAGCGGTATAGTATCTCCCTTAAAATAATTAAAACAATCTACGGATGCAAACCCGCCTGCCAAACGTGGCAATTCTCCATCCGAATCACTCAATCTTTGGGGGAGCTGGGCATCATGATGAAGTAAGGTGTTTATGTTTCCCTGTCTTTATCAGCAAATTATTTTGCTATGTATATAAAGATAAATAAAAATCCTCTTATTTTGCAAAATTTATATATTTGTAGTATTTACGATATAATGGTGACGTTTATGACTAGGTGTTATATTTTAAGGATAAAAATGAAAGAAAAATGCAGTTAAAATAAAGGATCAAAATATTTTTTTAAAACTTGCAAAAAACATTACAATGTTATTTAAATAATCACCTAATTGTTACTATGAAAATGTTTTTGTAGAGTAGTGTTAACTGTGGTAATAAAAATAGTTTACAACGTTACTACATTCCACCTGGTCTATATCTAAAGGAGACGGTCCGACGATCAGGGTACGATGCATAAGAACTTCCCGCCAGTTGTGTCCGTAACGCGTCCAAACTCTGCCACAACTGCTGCATCTGACCGTAAATGATCACTTCCAAACGTTGGATTGAAGTATGAAGCTCTCCTGAAGTAAAAAATAAATTGGAAATATAACAAACCCATAAAAAGTAGCACTGATTGTGTAAAGTTCTTTTACTTTAATTGAATAAGTACGGTTAAAAAACGACCGTGCTTAAATGGTGTTATAGTATTGGCGCGTTCACAGTGATAACAGGCTCGGTATGTCGATACAGCTGTTTCTTTTATACTTAAATAACAACCATTGATGTACAAAAAGTATGTCAATGATAACAACACTATAAAGCAGACGGTCAATTTCAGGCCTAGTCTATGTACACTATACCGTAAAAAAGCGAAAAATTCAGGGATATTATCAACAATAAAATAAGAGAATAAATCAAACTAAATAACTTGCTAAAAATAAAAATGTGATCCCAAGTTTTTGATAGTTTCACAAGATGGCGCCCTTCAAAAAGACGCGGTTATTTGTCAAATGTCATTTCCGACAAGTGACTTAGGTCATGGTCAAGTGCAGGTAGCGTGATATTTCTATTTCATCCGAGCTTGGTCGTGTAGTTGTGAACTCATGAATGTATTTATTGTGCTTCTAGGGGATTTCTTTGGCGATTTGGTTTTGGTTTTGTGATCAAGATAACACAACATTTCAGAATTCAAATAGCCATCAATAAATGGATGAATAACCTTATGACAGTTGACAGCTAACGTCAAAATGACATATATCTGCCTTTGGTGAGAATAAAATATTAATACCACTGAAATAAGAGCAAATTCGTGAATTTGAATGATCAAAAGTGGTTTAATATTTTATTTTAATTTATTACCCTACTAGTACAAAATTAGGGCTACGCTTCATACAATTCTGGATCGTCTCCTTTCTCCTGTATCGTGGAAGCCTTTAAACACATAAATTGGGCATGGACATGGTAAAACATACCTTGACTACTGGTGTGACAGCAATATCGGCTTGCAGTTTCAGCTCGACTTTCTAATATGTCGAATAAGATTGACGTATATGGGTAGTAAGCTAGCGCTAATATTAGTGCAATACAAGACAGTGACGTCAATTAGCGATAGACAGTAGAACAAATTTTTAATGTACATTTATACAACAAGTCATTATTTGTGTGGACAACGTAATTACGTGCACCCTGCGAGTATACGTTGACCGTTGGCAAACACTGTTTACAAAATATTTAAAAACATTATACGTACAGCAAGCGTTTCCAAACGCTTTGTTGTGCTGTTGTTCTTTACGTGTTCATGTGAAGAAACCCTAAGGTGGTCCAAGACCAAATTCCCTATTTCACATGTATGCGGTGCATTCTGCTAACAGAGAAACGAGCCTCTGGTGAAGGAGGTCGAGTGATGGCGGAATCCATCTAAATTTTCTACTGAACTCAAACTCCTACTAACTGGTGATAGAGAGCACAGAGCAGTTTTATCAGTACGAACCTAGTATGCTAAGTATTTGAAGTGATTGCAAGAAATGTATTGGCCTTATTATGGATGCAATCAGTATTGGCATCCATAAAAAGACCAATATTTTCTAATAGAATAAAGGTGACAAACGAGAACCCAGTTCACATGAAGGTATGTTGATGCTGTGGTCCATTGACATCTACATTTATCCTCGATTAAGAATCAAAAGTTTGATGCGTTGTCACCCCTGAGGACTAAGATGGAATGCGTTGTTTTCATTAAAAAAAGGGTATCCGGTTCTCTCACTCACACTCACCACACGAAACACAGCAACATTATTAAGCTTAACATTAACTTACGCAACCATTCTAACGCTGGTAAGGTAAGTAAAGTATAACACTATTGACAATATTAAAACTTTAATTTATTTTAAAAAAAGAGTACAAAAGGGGAATTAAAGCATAGGCTAGACTAATTTTTATTTCATATAGATTTTTTTAATAGGACAGGGTAAGCGTTTGCAGTGACTCATAGACATCTACATCTATCCTCGATTACGAATCAAAATGCAGATGCGTTGTCACCCGTGAGAACTAGATGGAATGCCCCGTTTCGAGTAAAAAGGATCTTCGGTTCTCTACACTCACCATATGATACACAACAACTTTAAGCTACTATCTTACGCTGGTACTCTGTGAGAGCGTGGTCCTTCCCCGGACCCATTCGTGCTGCAACTATACCACTAATATAACTGCAGCATGGCTCTACCACGTAAGGATTATAAAGAAATCGTTTTACCTTATTACACTAGTGCACTAGCAAACGAATATTCTGTAAAATAAACTCTCCTTTCATATAAGGTGGGTCTACGCTATATAGGAGCCGAGCACGAGCTGAGC